TAAATAAATAATGTTTTTAAAAAGGGCAAACTGTCTTGGAAATTGTAAATGAATATAAATATTTAGGGATATATTTCAATAAGAGTGGTTCGTTTTATAAATCTAAAATACAAATAGCTGAACAAGCTAATAAAGCACTATTTGCATTACTGAGGAAAATTAAAACTTTGGCTTTACCATTTGACCTACAAATTGAATTATTTGAAAAAAACTATCAAGCCTATTTTACTGTACGGAAGCGAAATTTTGGGATATGGAAATGTTAATGTTTTAGAGAGAATTCAGCTGAAATTTCTCAAATATATATTTAAATTTAAAAAGTCAACCCCGTCTTATACGATATATGGTGAAACAAGTGTCTTTCCACTCAGTGTGCATATCAAACACAGAGTAATTACATTTTGGGCAAGACTTATTGAAAACATCAATAGTGATGAGCCAACAAAATTATCTTCAAAGGTATTTATTTTCTTACGTAAATTACATATAGATAATAAAGTTAAATCACTTTGGATAGAAAATGTAAAACAATATTTATATGAAACTGGTTTTTCTGGGATTTGGTACATAGAAAGTTTTAGCAATAGTAAGTGGTTGATAAAAACAACATTTAAAAAGTTCAAAGATATTTACTCGCAAAATTGGCGTTCTGAACTAAATAACACTTCTGATACAAACGTTTACAAATATATCGAAAAGGATTTTTCGAGAAGCTGTTACATAGATAAACTACCAAGCAATTTAGCTAAGAAATTATTACTATTTTTGACAAGAAATCATCGCCTTCCAATTGAAAAAGGACGATGGCAGAATATACCTATTCAAGACCGTAAATGTAATATATGTAACGATATTGGCGATGAATTTCATTATCTTTTTGTATGTCCAGAATTTAAAAATGATAGAAAAATATACATAGATAATTTTTACATAAATAGGCCAACTATGTTTAAATTTGTAAGCCTGGTCACTTAAAATACAAATAAACTAAAGAATCTTAGTATTTTTTGTAGGAAAATAATGCAACATTTTATTAGAAATTGATGTGTTTAACTAGACAATTTTAAATCATGTCTTATATAACTATATGCGAAAGATAAGTTAATATTTATTCTTTTCACTTACATATATATACCCAGCTCAATTTTATAGCTTAAATAAATATGAATGTGTTAGGCTTTGTTCTTGGAAATCTCAATAGCCGTTTTCTTCTACATTATGTTATGTGATTCTATGTTTGTATGTATGTATGCATTTATGTAAGTCGCAAGTTTGCTTTTGTTTCCCACTATTGTGGGACTTTTGCATATATATTGAAAATAAAATCTTGAAAATCTTGCAACTTGATACCTGTCTGTGAAACAGATTTTGAAATATTTGGAATTGTGTTTGTGGTCACACTGAAATACAAAATTTTTTAGGTCCCCTGCAACCTTACGTGTTTTATGCCAGAATTTTAAAAGCATGTCAAAAATGAATGAAATAAAGGAATGAGAGAATTAATTGAAAAATTAAATTTATGATTTTGTAATTATTTGAGGCTTTTAAAATAGTAGTGATCAAAACAAATAGAACAGAACATAAACTTTATTAAACAAAACATTATACACAAACACTAAAAAAGATTTTCACCTGCTTATTATCAACAAGCATTTTTTTAACTTGAACATTTAAAAAGCAAGACAAACACAATACATGAAACAACATTTAGTATCAACAACTATTAAATTTATAGTAAGTGACGAGTTTCAGCAATACAAAACAACACCACGTGACTCCACCACGTGTCTCAACCACGTGTCTCCACCACGTGACTCCACCACGTGACACCACCACGTGACTCCACCACGTGTATCTATTTATAGAATTTTCTATGTATAGAATTGTGTGTTTCTATTTATTGAATTTTTAATTTATAAATTGTGTGACTCCACCATGTGACACCACCACGTGACTCCACCACGTGTATCTATTTATAGAATTTTCTATTTATAGAATTGCGTCTCTCTCTCTCTCTCTCTCTCTCTCTCTCTCTCTCTCTCTCTCTCTCTCTCTCTCTATATATATATATATATATATATATATATATATATATATATATATATATATATATATATATATATATATATATAGTCCAACCCCGTTTATACGAAGTGCCTGGGACTGAATATTTACTTCGAATAATCGATGGGTTCGAATAATCGAAATCCGAATATTGTGATAGACGAAAACTACTCCACTTTGACCAATCGTAGCAAAACTACCTTTTACAACACACTTACTTCCTGTAATCAATTGAGAAAAATAAATATTAAAGAAAAGATGCATAAAAATTATTGTATTGACATTGAAGACATAAATTCTTGCATTTTATTCTACATTATGTATCGTTTCGTTTCGCCCAAAGCCTTGATAATGGCCGTGTTGTCACTACGGTATTTACAGCTAAACTCTGGTATTTTCGATTAGGAAAAAGGCTCTCATGTAGCGTTACAATTAATACAAAAATGTTTTGGATGTTTTGACAAATTTACATAAACGTTATGTATGAAAATTATTGCTGTCATCTTCAAGCAATAACAGTAACAAAATCGGTCACGGTGCATTACTTTTCATTTTCGGTAATTAAAATTGATTAAAGAGCACACAAAGAGTTATTATCATGATCGTCTAAATACACGCCTGACTGTTGATGTTTTTCACAAGTCGACCGGTCATTGAGTGGATCTGCGCCAATTTGTCTGGCTTCGAATAATAATTAAGCTGGCTTCGAATAATAGGTGTGAAATTCTTTCATAATTGTATAATCGGGAACGAAATTTTACTTCGAAAAATAGGAGGTATTCGGATAATGCATTTCGAATAATACGCTCGTATTTATATTGATTTATATAGAGATAAAAACGGGACCGCCGATCTACTTCGGATAATGCCGGGTATTCGAATAAAGGGTTGTCGAATAACCGGGGTCGGACTGTATATATATACATTTTTACGACGCGGTCCGTTGCTATGAAAAATCGACCGGAATTAGAATTTTCTCGCGCATGCGCATTCTACGAAGGACAAGAAATCCTTCGCCCTACATAGAAATATAGACAATTCCGAGTTAGTTCAAGGTAAACGGTAGAAAATTATATAAAATAGCTTTTAACAAATATAGAAAAGATGACTTTATAGCTTTGTGGCGAAGAATGCCATAAATAGGCACGAAAAAAGATACTTGTTAAAGAATTTACGATCACGGAACTGACACTGAGATCATTTTTTTTTAAAGAAGATGTGGAAATATATCTATAAGCAAATGAAACGTCAATTTATTTGCTGTTGAAATAGTTCATTTAAAAACAAAAGAAATTATATAACATGAAATGGTGATACATTATCATTCAGAAAGATATTAGAACAGCTAGGTGATAATGCATTTAAAGTGTTCAATATACCTGATTTTATCCTTTATCCGATTTGCCTGTGATGCAAACAGAAAAATTTAAGTCACATAAATAGATTTAAAATAATTTATTATTTTTTTCAAAATCTTGAGATGTTTAGATAGGTTGTTTGGAAAAGATAAACCACATTTTCTCCGTTTTCTCCGTAATACATGTTATTTTTTATTATGCACGTGTCACAATTTTTCTCTTCTCAAAATCCATAAACATTGATCGGTATATTTAAAAGTTACATAAATTACCGTTTTAATAAGCGTAACTGATTAACTATATCACGATATTTAAACGTCCCGGTTCAATGAACAAACGTTCGAGTGCCAATCTGTTTGACACTTGCCGCCTGACCAAGCCAGTTATTTAAAGGAAGTGTACAATAAAAATTGTGTAATATTATGTAATACAGGGGAAATAATTTTTTTTATCTTTAACACACTGCTGTTCCAATTTAGATTATTGATGGAAAAGAAAGTCGTCTAATGATACCTTAAACATAAAATAAACAAAGATATGTGTGTGCCTGTTTTGACCATTGAATTATTACTCCCGCACATTTTCGTAGATCTCTTAAAAATAAAGTCACGTTTTCTGCATTTACCCCCTAAAGTCATCCCAAAATTAATATTTTTTGGGTGACATAACATGAAACACCATATATTAAAGCCTTAAAGTATGATAAACTGTAGACATCGTTATTGCTTTTTGTCCTACGCAGAATGCGCATGTGCGAAATGCAACATTCGTTGCTATGGAAAATCGTACTGTTAAAAGGTCTATATATATGTATATATATATATATATATATAATTATGTCTGTGAAAATAAAAATCTAAAATGAAGATATATGCAGTTTTTTTTTAAAGAAAGATGCTGTACCTAATTAACCGTTAAGATATTTTATTCTTTTCAATTTGCTTGATCTGATAAAGTTGTCTGTAATCACATTGAGGAAGAAAGTTTTATCTGTAAGGCAGATTCCCTCATCAAATATTTTGCTTGGTCTGTCCAGATGGCAGGGACGGTGATTACCCATTTAATATCTCCCGATCTTATATCTTGAAATCTTCTTTTTAAATCAGTGAACATGTCCTCGGCTAAAAACCGAATGCTTGCTGAGAATACGATAATTGCTGGTAGCACCTTTCCCATCTGATCAATTACCTTCATTCCAGTCTTTAACGGCTGTAAAGTATGTGGATAATGCATTCATCACGATTAGACACAATAAATAAATCTCGAAAAGGGTGATCAATCTTACGCATTTAATACAAGAATTATTTATGAAATTGTTATTGAGTCAAAATAACCTGTATACCAAAAAGTCTTATTTAGTTATTAAAATTAAGCGTTAGAGATATGCGAGCATAATCGCAAGGAATAAATGTTAAAATGATAAATACGAAAAGAATACATGTACCTATGTACGAAACGACGGTATATATTTTTTCAAATTCTGAAAATATGTTTACCTGGTAATATTTTCCATACAGACTAGTTTTGAAGTTTTTAAAGAAGAAATAACTCTCGTGTTGTTTCTTTGATACTAGATCGTCATATCTTCTCTATCTTCTCGTAGCCAAATGAGTCTAGGGTTTGACCGTCTGGTTTTATCAAAACGCATGTTGGTGTTTTAACTGTTGCAAATTGCGTGTATGTTGAATACCAAGATTTAATATATATATTAGGCTTAATTTCTTGCTCCAGATCCGAGTAAGGTGCAAATGCCCACCCAGAAAATGAAGTTCCTAAGTCTATTGCCGCAATGAAAATCTCACTGTCCTTCTGAAATAATCATTATAATTATGTTAATTAGTTATCATTATTGAGTTATCGTTACAAACTTACTTTATGTACAAAATGATGCTACTTTTGATACATTAGATGGAACTTAGAACTCTAGCTGGTATAAGAGTAGTGAGGAATTAATATAAATGATACTACCACATTTAACAATTATCCGTTTTATAGTATTTAAAGTTAAATTGTTCATAATGGAAGGTCTGCAATATCAAAGAAATTATGTTGAGACTATTCATTATCATACATGGCAGTAAACCGCGAAATAATTATATGTGGATGTTGTTGGTGAGAGTGAGATATGTGATATTACATATAAATGTATTTATACAGCAGATAATGAAATGATATAGAACAACTCGTTTTTCATTATGAAAAGGATCGTGCTAAATCAATTAGAACAAGATCAACATTTTTCCCTGAATTATTGTGTAGGAATATACAAATGAGATTTTCCTATTATTTAATAATATTTGAAATACCACTTGCCCTTCATCGCTTTGTGTTCGAATCTCAACAGGGAATTTACATTCTTTCATGTGAGGGAGCTATCAAGCTAGCTAACAGAACGTCGTTGGTTCTACTCAGGTGCACGTTCGTGCCTGAAATAATGCACGGAATGGCACCTGTGGTATTCCTCTACCAGGATAGCTTGAACGTCGCCATATGAGCTATATTGTGTCGGTGTGACGTAAAACACAATCAAACAAAATAATTGACTTAGTATCCTTAATTATGTTATGCCTATACAAGCATGTTTGAAGAAATTGACAAAAGGCGTTCTTTAAAGTTTCGTCATAATGTCAATCTTTTCATGAAATATATATGTATCAGAACGACCTAAATGGATTGTTGTTTATGCAGTTTTGTCCATACATAAGCATGTTTTATAACGTTATAATAATCTCAAACTACTACCTGATGTAACAAAATATTTTTCGTTTAAAGTATTTTTTTTCATTTTGTGCATATAAACCTGTTAAGACTAAATTGTAGTCAGATAGAATTTTGCATATATAGCGAGATGTAAACGATTCAGTGGGTATTTTAGTAGATCATATTTCAGAATTTGTTTTGTAGATATATACAGTAAGTATATGTTAGTGTTTGTATGTCAGCATTTAATGAAATGAAACATTGTTGGTGTATAGTCCTTTCCCGTAACTAGGTTACCTCCCTTAGCGATGCGTTGATTACGTCCCCTGATATGACTAATTCTACTTCCGGGGACTACATGTACTTCCTGTTTTTTTTTAACAATGGAGGAAGACAATAGAGTTGTTGATGCGTGGAAAAATGAAAGATTAAATGCATGTAAAATTAACGAATTAAAAGAATACCTACGTAGTGTTGGACAACATGTATCGGGAAATAAGGCTGACTTAATAGAGCGAGTGAAAGGTGATTGTAAGCTAAACATTGGGAATGTGTTTAAGGCTCGTGAATCGGACATTCAGGACAACCGAAAAAGAGAATGTGAGCGGTTGAACACGCCTTTAGGAGAAACTCTTGTTCATCCATCCTATTTAGATCGTTGGAGTGATGATTTGTCCAATATTCCAGATCTAAGTGAAAAGGACATTTATAATTATTTTGTGTATAAATTAAACACCAAACGTCAGTTGAAGTCGAAGGTCATGTATGAGAATAGACACGTATACAATGTGCAGGTAATTTTTTTAATTGTACTAATTTAAAACATGAATCCATATGTTATCTTTATTATTCATATAATTTAATAGTTTTTCATGATTTCATAATAATGCTTCCGGGTCAGTCGGATTTAAACTTTAATTGCCACATCCTTGGGTCAACTTCCCATATCTATAATCTACAATTTCCAGCGGTAGTTACACAAGCGTTAGTTAGAACTTAGATAATGACAAAGTATTTTTGACAATTATAACATAAAAACTTAACTGGATGTTTTTCCAGGATTTTGGGAAGTATGACTCGCACCCCAGTCATCGAATTTAGCACTGGCCCGGTGGCCCATGGCCAGTAAAATTTAGTTCGCACAAGTGAAAATTTTAAGGCAATTTAATAAATATATAGTAGAATTAATTCAAAACTGGAATGGGCTTGTAAATTCAAAATCTTAAATTCATTGACTGATACCCATGAAATTGGGAATTTAAAATCCTGGCCTTATTTCCAAAGAAATTAGAATTTTATTCAATATTTTTATTTTGTATCTCAATTTATATTATTTTTATTTGGGAATATGACCGTACGTATATCGTCTATAAAATAAATTAAAATAAAATAATTATGTTCATTCTTTGTAAAAAATTCAAAGTTATAAGACGTTCAATTTACTACTTCATCATTGCATTTATTGAAAAAAAAGGTATGACTAGTCTCAAAGAATGCGTATTTGATTACGTTTATATAATAGGCTAGATGTACATGATTCAAATGCAGTTAGAACTTTTGCCTGGCAGTTCGGGACAGTACTTTTTTCTAAAGATATCATGACTCTCATTATATAGATTGTGTCTTTCTATAAAATTGTAATTTTTGAGAAAATCAATGTCCTGTTCAATGTACTAATTATTCTTACTGCATGCTTGTATGATGAATTGTTTTAAACAAATAATCATCAAATTAACATGAAATTGGTGTTTAAATTGATAAACATTTATTTTTTCAGGTAAATGAGACAGATGAAAACCAAAGTCACTGTTTTGTGAAATGTAAAGCTATTCCTTCAATGCCAACAACAAATAAGAAACAGTGTCCAGACTACAATGTATGGGTTATGCTCTCAAAGATGACTGGATGTATAAATTCCGCAGAATGTAGTTGCACTGCCGGGTATGTACATATATATTTAATCTGTATACATACCTTGTCCAAGGAAATTAATTGTAATTATTATATTGCCACACAGATGAAAGATAATAAGATTCAAGTTCAAATTTAAGTATTAATTTAATTACAATCATACATTTTGGCACTAGGAATGTCGCCCATTTCACAGGTATATTACTTCTTGTAAGTGGGGAAATTTGGAAATTTCATTACAACACATTCCCAACTGTTATTGAATGATGAGTTAACTTAAACTTTTTAAAGTTACACACCTTAGATGAGTAAAAATTATTTCAAGAAATTTGGTCTTTTAAAATTTTTTTTATTAACTTAAGATCTTAAATGAAAGTTTTCAATATTTAATAAATAATTTACATGTTGCGTGCGATTATTTATTGATTTTGCAGCATCAATCACTATCTTTCTCCTGCGTTACCAACGCAATAAGATGTATTTATGTATATATTGACCGCCTTTTGGTAATTTACGTGGATTGTAAGTGCTGTTTGCAATGTGTAAATTACTTTCTTGTTTGCTTAAAAGTATTTAACTTGTAAATATATTTTCAAAATTTTCATGAAATTAGCATGCTGCTTGCTAATTTAACCTCACGTTTCAGTTAAGGTGAAATAATATTTTTTTATCAAATAAAATATATTATTTCTTGATTTATTTAGGGAAGGAGAAGGCTGTAACCATGTCGCGGCCCTCCTTTATGCCATTGCAGACATAACCGAGAAGAAACGGGATGGAAAATTGGCACCCACATCAATGAAATGTACATGGAGCAATCCACGGAAGAGGAAACTGACACCTAAAAAGTCACAGGACCTTACATTTAAGAAGGTAGTTCATGGTAAAGAAAGTGTTAGGAAAAATTGCCAATTCCTGTATATGACATTAAAAAGCCAGTAGATGTTGAAAAGTTCAAGGACAAGCTTCTAAGTCTAAATTCAAATGCAGGGTGGCTGAAGAACTTTGAGTTAAAATCAGATCACATTTTTCTTCCAAAACTCCATGACATAAAATTTAACTATAGTGATCAGGTGAATCTGGAAGGAGTAATGGAAAGACAATTCTTTAGTACATACTTTGACTCATTGAAAATTACATTAAGTGAATGTGTCAGTATTGAATGTCTCACTAGAAATCAAAGTAGGTCAGATTTATGGGCAACTGCGAGAGAAGAGAGGCTAACAGCATCAAACTCTGGAAGAATTTGTAAATTAAAGAAATGTACAAAACCAGATGCGACATTGAAAGACATTTTGAATTACAGAACATTTGATACTATCCATACAAAATATGGAAAGAGTCATGAAAATGTGGCTAGAAAACATTATGAAAGATTTATGAGAAAATCACATCCTGGACTTACAGTGAAAAATGTGGACTGCTAGTGACACCAGATTATCCCCATCTTGGGGCAAGTCCAGATGGATATATTAACTGTACTCACTGTGAAAACCACAATGGTTTACTTGAAATTAAATGTCCATCTTCTTTAAGCTGGAGAATGAATACACCAGAAGAGTGTGCAACTGATTCAAAGTTCTTTGTGTTTTACGTGATGGAAAGATTACTTTTTGAAACAAACTCACAATTATTATTATCAGGTTCAAGGGCAACTTGGAATAAGTGGACGGAAGTGGTGCGATTTTGTTGTTTGGACATGTGTTGGAATATCAGTGGAAAGAATCTTTGCTGATAAGGAATTTTTCACAAATCATATGGTGCCTCATTTGAATGACTTCTTTTTAAAAGCATTTATTCCAGAACTCTTCAGTTGTCGTGTTCAACGTGGAATACCATTGTTAGTGTTAAATACAGTGTTCAATCATCAACAGGGACTAGCATTGTAGTGCAGTGTTCAATCATCAACAAGGAGTACAGTTGTAACAATTTATCCTATACTTATAGTTTTCACTGAGAAATGTCATAGTGTGTTCATTGAGGACAGGAATACATTTTAGGAACTTGAACTGTATTCAATGAGGAATATCAATAAACTGTTATGTGTTAAATGAGGAATATCTTTTAAATGTTTTATAATACTGCATGATTGTAACTTTGTTTTTCAATGGATAATCATGGCGTTTATTTAGTTTAATATACACAACTGCTGTTGATTTATAAAGAAATTTCGCTTTATATTCCTCTAAAAATGGTGCTTGCTGTATTATAAATTGGTTAAAAATATTTCAGACAGGTTATATGGCCGGATATAAAGGGTGACAATTTGCAATATGACCCTCACCTAGCGGCCTCGGGTTATATTTACTAACAACAGTTTATATAGGGCCATATAACCTGTCAAAAATCTTTATAACTTATAATATAACACTGCTGCTGTCACTATATAACTATATATAATATATATGAAGAAATCTCACTTTTTTCTCTAAAAAGATGCTTGCTGCATTATGAATATTTCTTACAGCTTATATGGCCCACAACCATATATAAACAGTTATATGCAATAAAACCCTCGCCTAGGGGCTCAAGTTTCAATATTTTCAAATAACAGTTTATATAAAAGTCTATAAAACCTGTCAAATTTTTTTTTAATTAATAGTATACCATGGAATCAAAACTCAAACTATTGTATGATATTTCAATGCTCAAGGAATTACCTTAGACAAGTTTGTAATTTTTTAATCTGTGTAAAATGAGGAATATCATTATAATATGAGGAATATCATTATGATGTGATATACTGTGCAGTTGAAAGTGAAATTATATTTTATAATTATCACAGTGAAATTATGTTTGATAATTTTCACAGTGAAATAATATTTGATAATTTTCATCATGAAATAAATTATAATATTTGATAATTGTCACTGTAGTCCGACTATTGTATTTAAAGCCAGATGAAAATAATAATTTATAACTACATGTTAACAGAATTAATGACAGGAATAAATTCAGCTGTATGTTAAGTTTGATCCTTTAGGAGAAGCAATCATATTACAAGTTATTAGATGCTTTAGCTGCAATGAGTATATTACTGCATATAAAGTTTGTTATAACAAATGATTTTCTCTTTGTTGTTTATTATGCATACATATTTGGTCAATATTATATTTTGAAAAATGTGACAATATGACATCTTTTTTAATAATATCTGACAATCAAGGGATGCAGTCAGAGTGTCGCTTAGCCTAGGTCAGTGTCACCTGTACTGTCAGTTTATGTTACCAGTACTGGTCAGTTCCAGGAAGCAGACTTTAGAATGGTTGAAATATAAGCAACATGATTTGTTTCTGAATAAATGAAAGAGAGAAAAATCAGAATATGTTGAATGTATCAAAATTTATTCAAACAAGAGAACAGTGAGCAATCATAAACCATACATGTGACTTCATTCATTTACATAATTTAGCTTTAGATACTAAAATCAGCAGTCTCAAAACATTGAACATTTTATACATTATACGAGGGTTGTCCAAAAAATTCGTGCACTGCAGTTATTGTCGTGAGAGTTTTTAATAAAACGATATGAATTATATATCAATTGAAGGGGAAATCTGTCTCAAATAAGAAAACAAAAGAAAAAGCCGGCTTACCGGCGTGTCGTGTAAAAGAAATGGTCATTAAGTTACCTTAGTAACGTAATACCGGCGCACGACAAAAATTTGGTTAGTTCATTACTGTAATTGTATTAATTATTTGTTGCTTGTAAAGTGGCATTTGCTTTTTATGTTATATAATTTGTTTTACTGTCTAAAGAGGAATTGATTGATGCAAAGTTATTTTGTAGTTTTTTATTGTTCTTTATGGGGCAACGGACATGTAACATATCCCACCAGTGAACGAATATATTGGACAACCCTCGTGCACATAAGTCGCGGCATTACGGACAGACGTCCTGCCTGAACCGGTTGTCATCGTCCACCGACTCTCGCCCTTCTAACAGAGCCTTTGTGCCATTAAAAAACCAGTCTTCGTAATACGGAATCTAGTCCCCGCTTGCCCTTTTAAGTTCTTTGTAAGTATCTTCTGTGTGTGTTTCACCAATATTTGCCACAAACTTTAATTATCGTCCGGTATTTCCAGACGTTTAGCGACTGAAACATTTTCACGTAATTACAATATTGACCGACCTCACACAAATGTTTGTTTACGACTGTTACAATAGGGCAATGACGTCAAATTTTTTCTAGTGACGGTAGGAAATACGTACACATATTTTTCCCTGAATTTAAACGTTTATATGTAGTGTTTAAAGAAATACCGTGATGCATCAAAGTAATGAACTTACATGAATTTTTTTGTCGTGAGCCGGTATTACGTTACCAAGGTAACTGTATGACGATTCGTTTTCACGACATGCCGGTTCCACGTTTTTTTCTGTTGTTTTCTCAATTGAGACAGATCTCCCCTTCAAGTAATATATAATTCATGTTTTTCTATCAATAACTATCACGACACTAACTGCAGTGCACGAATTTTTTGGACAGCCCTCGTATACATTATATACATTATTATAAAACATACATTAATATACATTCTAATCTCTGATGGTAGCAAATGAGTTCACCCATATAATAAGCAGTGTACATTTTGGCATAACTAACGGTTTACACATAATGTAACTAGCACTACAGAATTTCAGTGAGGGACTAAAGGAGGTTGTAGATTTGTTAATTTTGTACACAGTTTCCATACTTTTGATGCACGCGTAGACATAGTTATAGGCATTACACCTTGAACAATTCTGAAATTTTTGATGCGTTCCAGTTTTTGCCTTTCGACATTGTATTCTTGCGTTGGCCCAATATTCTCTTGTTTTGTTTGCACTTCCCTCTTCGAAAATTTTACAAATTAGAACGTTTAAATGGGGGCATTATAAGTTTGATTCCTTTAGGTGTTGTCAAGTCCGAAATGGTAAAGCCTTTGTCAGCCATTATTGAATCTCCTTCTTCGCACAAATCAATAATTCCACATTTTTTTGTCAATTGTTTATCACTAATTGACCCAACCCATAAGTCCGACACAAAAGTAACATGGCCAGAAGGACTAATCCCAACTAGAGATTTCCATGTATTGTGCGATTTATAGTCACTGTACATCGTGGATTTCAACTGTAAGGAACTGGGTGTTTCCGTTCTTATTTCCGTGCAATCAATAATTACCCTGGTATCCTGAAATTTGTCCCTAAAACGTTTTGGCATATTTGCTTGCACTACCTGCTTTGATGGCCACATTATTAAAAAGTTTAACTTGACATCTAAATAGTCTATCCATTTGTTAAGCAATCTACTGCAAGCAGTAGATGAAATGCAGAATCTGGCAGCTAAATCATCCACTAACAGACCTAATCTCAATCTCATCAGGACCATAAAAATTCATCAATAAGTCGAAGAGAATTCGGACGGCCTCCACTTGGTGTTTTGGACTGCTCTCGCACATCTGTCATTTCCTCGAATAATGCATTAAATGTCCCTTTATTAGGTATACCTGTATAAAAGTTTAACTTGGATGGATTGTCCATTACATCTTCAAACATTAAAAAGGGTAACACTGTCTGTTCTGCGGCGTCTTTCAACTCAACTTCAGTCTGTGTCCCTATACTTCGACAAGTCCGCACTGACTCGGTCTGTGTGCTTGTTGTCGCCATCTGTGTGTACGTCTGTGTTTTCAATCATCCTAAAAAATGTAGACAATTTAATGTAAAGATTGAACAAGTGATACTTAAAGCTGCAGAAACAGTGTATTTCTTTTTTAAATTCAATATTATGTTGCAATTACAGGAAAATGAATGATTAAACAAGTAGCTCTTTGAATAAAAGATTTTATGCCTAACAAATCTAAGAGCTCTCTTTTCTCACTTAACATACAAGTAGTCTGACCATGGATCAAACCCAGGACCCTCGGAATACAATTTCCAATCTCGTAACCTACAGACTGAGCTTTCCTGTCATTTATACATCTCCTCTTATAATAACAAGACAGACTCAATGATTTCTATACATTTTTTACAGTGAATGCTGTTTTAATTGATTAATTCTAGCATGGTAACAAATAAGAGTTTGGAAACAAATTTCATCAACAGTGTAAATAAAGGGAAAACTAGTTTTGTGTTTACCTTACTGCACTTGGCGTTGGTACTGGTTCACATGTGTAGTCATAAAAATTTAGCGACACATCAAGGTACGACTGGTTGCATTCCTGAATGAAAGAACCAGGTTCTTCATATTCTGTCTGGACTTCACATTCTGCTTGGAAATTCACAAGATCCATGTCAACCGGTGTTGCAGTGTAAAGGATTTCATGCTCAATCTCATCTTGTTCATTCTCATTCAGACTCTAAAAAATAATGAATAAAATATTACACACTAACATGACATATAAGTTGAACTTGAAAACATATTAAAAGTAGTAGCTTATTAACATGCTACATTTGTTTGGTTTAGTTTAAAAAAAATAACATAAGAAAATGAAAACAATTTCGGAGTGCATTACAGTACAATTAATTTTTTTTTAAATGTTTACAAGTGAGAGTCAAAAACTGCCTGGGGGCTTAACTGCCTCTTTTCCATTTATTTGAAACCTGTCGGAGAGTGTATGATATATTTGGTAAATAAACCCGTATTACATTCTCTAAAGGGAAATTTTACCGAAACTTGGTCATTTGTAAATAGCTTTTAAAATCAAATGTCGCTCACAAAAAAAAATGAATGAACGTAGCCTACCGAGGTTGGAAAGATTTTGTCAGTTCCAGAAGCAGTTGGAAATATTGTTGGAAGAGTATGTAACATGGACGGCCCCCTGCGCTCAACAAAATGTTCACTACATAGCAGTCGGTTTTCATTCCACTGAAAACTTTTCAATACCGTCCGACATCTTTGAATCCACACACGTTTAGTACGTTTATTCTGAGGAAAACGATGCAGGGACACTGTTCTGCCGTCAATTTCTTTTCCCCGATAGATTCCCTTACAAACACAACAGTACTTCAACGATTTCTTCTTCGCTTTCATTTTTAATCAGCTGATTTGTGAGCTACTCAGTCGAGTGTGAACAAGGTAAACAAATAGTCCCCGGAAGTGAAAAAAATTTCTGAGCATGCGCATACGGAACAAATAACGATAACTCGTCAAGGGAGGCAACTTAGTTATGGGAAAGGACTATATATATCCAATAGTTGATATAATCTTTAATTTGCCGAACTAAATTTCAAACGCTAATATAACTTCCCTCGTTTTGTCTAAATATATTTGTATGTATAATAAATGCCGCCGAGGAAGTCCAAAAGGTTTAAAGCTACGGCGAATTCATATAAGCGTTTTTAGTTAACAAATATCATATATAATTTTTTTCTTAATGTTGTCAGTAAATTCGTTTCTAAACCAGTATATTGGTTTAAACATATTTATTTTAGCTCGATTGCTAAATAAGTTCTTGCAACTTATATTAATCACTTTCGATTCCGTTTCCTGGAACCATCCATTACTGGTGTTATAATTATGAAGAAAGATTGGCGTGACCCGATTAGGGCTCGAACCCATGATCCTGGTTTGAGAGGCAGACACCTTAACCACTAGGCTAGCGCTCTCCTCCAAAATTATATTACGCTGGTTAAGAAGCGAATTTACTTCAAATAGGAAGTGGATAAGCGACAAACTTGAAATGGTATCCCAGGGTATTGGACCACAATTATATTATGTATATCAAATATCAAGAGGCTGTGATAAGTAGGTGCAGAGATAACTGTTACGGAATTTTTTTCCCGCCTACCGCCCAACATTCACCTTAAATAACCCGGGTCTGCACCTGTTCAACCCGGCCAAAAATTAATAAATGAAGACAAGAAATGTGAGTTTTTATTTAAATGAACATGATTGTGCTCTTTATAAAATCACCTGGCTCTAATGGTCAGAGTTTATAAGATTTATTATTGAAGAAAAAAATCTTTCGTGGAAGTGAAATCTCGTAAATTCAAGACAATCTACATAATTATGAAGAAAAATTGTCAAATTTCAGTGACTAAATTTTTACAGACTCCAACACCACAACATTAAAATATATAGATATGCATATACACACAGAAAAGGGCATAGAACTTCAAACCGTAATCCCTTTAACCTTTTTTTCTTTCTAATAAGTATTTACTTTTTAAAATATTATCATAAAGAAATTGTATCGATATCCTCATATACTACATTTTTCTTTTCTTTCTTTTTACACGTTTATCCTTCTCCCATACTTCCTTTATCGTTCCTCTCTTTTCATACATATGTTGTCTGTCTCATTCTTGGGATAAGATCATGGATAGGTGATACTTTGAAAAATAGAGGTATACAACCTTTCTGGGTATGAAATTACATTATTTTGATGCAACTGTTGATGTTTACATTAGATTATATGTCAAGGGGATCCACCTACATGTATTGTTTATATATGAACAAGAATATTACAGTTTCAATTTTATAACAGTATATAATGATTTTTATTTTCCTTAGACGATGATTTCAGTGACAGTTATTAGGAAATGTTGAAGAAGAATTATTTTGTTATCAAAGAAATATTGTACACTTACTATTTACTTTTCTGGTTTGATGATAGTTTATTTAACTTTACAAGACCTTATACAACCACTTTGGCCTTATTTGATGAGTTTAGAGGTTAATCAATACAAATACATAAAGTCAGGTTAAAATTTAATATAAAAATGCTTAGAATAATCAAAAATGCCTTTTCCAGTTTTATGTCGGCAAAGATACGGGCGATTTTTTCTTCGCTCGGCACTTTATTTCTCCCATTTTGCTCTAAAACTTTCATTGAATGTTACAAGACACTGATGTGTCTGTTTCCAATATCAAATTGACATGAGTATCATTTACATGTAAAGATTGCATTCAAAAATCAAATATGTGGAATTGTAAGGCTCCTGTCTTATAACTAACATGGATTCAGTGCATGAATATCAAAACATACCAAGAGTGTGAAATACATTGAAAAAAATATAGCTCACTTTAGTACAGACTCTTATCATGTCACGTGGTTTGTATGCAAAAAAGCGGTATGAATTGACTGTTTTTCACTAACAAATTTAAACCATATTTTAACATTTAAAATGTATAATGAGATATAATTTAGACATTATTTCTATTTTATGCGTATTGAAATGTTTACTATTATGACAGAATGTAGAATCAACTTGTAGAAGATGCCTATTTGATAATTAGAAGTTGAACTGGTTTTATTAATTAACTAATAGCATCATTAAAATCATCTATGTATACAGCACATGATAAATAATTATTCATCTTGAAGTCAACAACTTAGAGAAAGGATTTTTTAAGCAAAGAAGAGTAAAATAACAAGACGTCGGCAAGCATTTTAAGTAAAGAATTGTTTAAAAAAAATCACCTGAGCTGATGCGGAGTTGCCGTCTTTCGATGTTGCCATATCAAGAGCACTTTATTGTCACATTATGTATCCAAGGAAAGGTTAAGGTATAACAAACGTACTCTTTAAAATTCAAGTATCTGACTTATCCTGTCAAAATTCACTAGGTAATAATTACTGTTTTTCCTGGTTTATAAATACTTATACGATCTTAAATTGACACGGAAAGTCACGAAATTAGCCACTTTTTAAAGTGTGTTATCAATATATAACAAAGAAATATAACTGGATGTAAACGTTATCCCATCTAAACTTTGTATCACATTACTAGGAATATAAAGAAATATATTTTGACACAGTGACATTATGCACATCCACAGGTAAATCGTCGGTGAACAGGTGAAAATCAAAATTACTTGTCTTTTTGTCTTAAATGGTTAAATTTTACATTTTAATAAGACAAAAAATAATAGATATTCCTTATGATCAACGGAAATGTCTATAGATATTCTTTAGAATGTATTGTGAATGTGTAATTTTAAAAAAAGATTGGGGCATTCCTTTTATAATTTAGATCGTTTATGTATTGTATCATAAACATTGTTCTTTATTAGTTGTTGGTCAATCATCCTTTTAAAAGTCAATATTTTGAAATATACTACTTATTCAACTCAACTTGACAGTGAAACAAATAGCACTATGTCACTTTAAAGCTGCTTGAGATGAGCCAGAATATTTCACAAAAATCAAACTTCACAAAAATGTATTAATTCTGTTTTAGGAAAGTAAAATGATTCGAGATTCAAGTAATAATTTACATGCAAATTACGAGTAAGGACTGATTTTGCAATAAATACCACAATGATTCTATTGCGTGACTGCTGCTTTAAAACAATTTTATCTTTTTATCAATGTAACCAGTTGAACAATATTGGGTATATACATGTTTGCTAAAAAGAAATTAAACTATAGTCAATTGAAACATGTCAATTCGTAACATATCACGTGTTCACTCTCACGTTTGACGATATAATGAAGACACGGTCATTTGTAGAATCAGTTGTTAGATATTACGTGCGTATGGTCGGTAATAGAGTTAATTGTTACATATAACATGTACACGCTTTGTAGTAGCAACGATTGTAAAATATCACCTGTGCACGATCACCTGTTGATATAACGTGTGCATGGTCGGTAGTAGTGACAATATCAACATATTGCATGGCTCTACAAATATAATGTTTGGGTTTGTAAATACATGTATGACATGATTATGCACCGTTTGTAAATATTATGCGCTCTTCGACATGAAGGAATTTAAGAACATTATCTGTTTCTTTAAAACTAACTCCTATCTTCTGTCTCCCTCATAGCCGAATGAGTCATGGTTTAATCAAAGCGCACATGATTTATTTTCCTCACTTACAAAGGGTTTATTTCCGCATAGATTAGAAATTTACTTTACTCTGAAATTATCGTTATATAAATAAATAATAAATATTTCCTTTACCTTATTTATCCTAACTTATTACGTCTTTATTTGTACTGATGAATCAGATTTTAACTTCCTTTCTTCTTTTATTATCACAAAAGAATTTAAGATATTTTAACTGATTTGATATTTTACTATTAACGTGTAATGATGACTATTTCTTTATACAGGCGTCACACTGTCCCGAATTTGGCATCAGATGGACACACGAATAAGGAAATGTTCAAATTCGGATCTGATCGTAATAACATCGTGCCATTCGTGAGGGCAACTTTTGCCATCGTATGATCCCTGGCTGAGTATAACAAGCTCCGGCAGCAACTTCGTGAGCGGTTCCAAAATCTTTGGCATACCAAAATATTGCCCGAAGACATTGCGAAGGTGTTGAATTCGTATGGCAATTTTGCCCTTCGTAAGGCCGTCGTGAAGCCGTCTTGTCGAATCGTGTAACCTTCGTCTTTTCTTCGTGTGATCATCGGTGCAATCTAGCATTTTTAACCTCAGGAAGACAATACGAAGTCCCTACAGTCTAAAAAAGGGAACACGACTACGTGAAGCTCCGCAATACTGTCGTGTCACCATCGTATTTTGGTACAATGTCATCGAGATGGGACTACGATGAGGACAAAGAAAGCAATTTTTTGTGGCTCAAGCGTTGCATGTTTATCATGGTGGACATTTAAACGACTAGACCATCTTTCTCATCAGTCACTCTTGCACATCTCTACAGAGACATCAAAAGCTTCCATTATTTGCAATTAATTTACAATTATTTTCAGTTTATTTCCTGCACAATTACATGCTTTGATGATGAGTCAACCGAAAAAAAAGAAGGCAGCAGCACTGCTATTTTTAAGACACCTTAGAAAAGATAATGAGGCCCACAGGCCCACTTTTGGTGGTATGATAAAGTTTTATCAAATATGATAAACAATATCAACAAGGAAAGGCAACGTTTAATGAACGCGACCCCGAAACAACCAAGCAACAAGAACCAAGTAACACAAAAAGGACCCCCCCCCCCGAAAAACGGACAGGGCGCAAGGTAGAGCACAGATAGGCTTATCACTTAAATGATACATAAGACGAAATAGTGGTAAACGACAATGAAATCAAAGAAAACAAATAAATGATTGATTTATTAAATAAATAAAACTAGGGGCAAAAGGGCAAATACTTACCGTAGACAAGAAAACAACAAGGAATTCCGACAAAAGTGTCACCAAAACAGTATAAAATAACAAAGACATGCATCTGAGGAACAAATAGGGGCGCCGTCTTGGACCGGTCAGCAGCATAAGCACTGCTGGGAAGTTTAAACTTGTTAATAGTGCACCAAACCTCACTCTTATCCGATCATGTTCCTATAAACGAGACGGTGTAAATAAAATGAATCCTCGCCAAGTAAATTTAGAACAGTTGTTATGGTTTCAAAAGGTAAAATAAGTAAAACACCGAGATGATTATGTAGATATATGTACATATAAATGAATACCCATATGACCGTAACAAAAGTACTCAATACTTTAAAGGAAGACAGGGTAACAAAAAAATCACCTACAAAGGCCCGACGAAGCAAGGCAGAAGACGAACATTAAGGCAATTCAGTCCGAAAGGGCATTAAGAACTGTCCATCATAGAGAAATCCAATTGGTCCGTCAGATGTATTCAAAAGAGGAAAGTACCAACTGTTAAAGTGTTGAACACTAAGCATGTGGTATATCTAAAAAAGTAGAGTCAAAACCTCTTTTGGTTTAGTAAAGGCAACAATGACCAAAGATCCTGCGAAGTTTGTAAATAACATCTCCATTAAATCATTTTTGAAACACTACTGAATTTTGACATTAAATCAAAGTTATAATTGTTAAATTTTGTTAAATATCTACGTAATTTATAGTAGCGGTAGCCCCGTTTGAGTAGCTTGCTAGTAATGAAAATATGTAGTTTGCGAAAATCCTTCACGTTGCTAAAAGTTCTAGCGAATCTAATTTACTGAGATACATATAGCCAGTCAGATGTTGCATGCGGTACGTCTCCATCTAAATGTGGATAGTTTACTATATCATAATCAAAGTCATCACTTTTATCATAGATTTTTGTGTGAATATAATTGTTTTCGATAGTAATATGAAGAGCCAAAATAAAGTAATTAGCTCCCAATACTATCTGCAACTGAAATATACCGCGGTTGGCGTTGGTTGTATACCATCCGGAGGTGAAGGTCACTTGACGCCTTCGTAACCACGTACGAAGGCATCGTACTCAAAATTCGACGTCGGGTACCTATCCTGTGACCTTCGCGTGTCCTGCTTGGAAACTACTTTGAACAAAATTCCAATTTGGAGGTGACTCCGTGTGTGTATCGGATGCGATCGCCTGACCTTCGGTAGGAATCGTGTGTGGTTCTGATGCGATCGCGTGACCTTCTGTAGGAATCGTACTTGCTTCGGCTGTTGAGAGACTGTCGACCAATTTCGGGGCTTCGCACGAAATTAAAATTTTCATATTCGTATGTCCATCTGGTGTCAATTTCGGGACAGTGTGACGCCTGCATTAGGATAGTCTCTGTTATTTGGGGAACAACTTATACATTGCCCTTGTGTTGACGTAGATATCCTTTTAACGCTGGCGACGAATGTTCTAACAACGGAAGAAATGAATTGTGGAAATAAAGCCGCCCGCCCTTCTCGGTCAATGACGGGTTGTGAAGTGTCAAAGATTTGAGCTCAAATTTTATATTAACGTAATTCTAGTTGTACTGTCCTCTTTTTATATGTTTTCAGGATAGCTAACATAGGCGACATGCTGCAAGATAGCTAGCCCTACTTACTACCAGGAATAATGTATCATTAGGATACATATTTATGTCAAAACCACCAGCAGAGAAAATTCGACCACGGTTCGACACCAGAGATGTGTTCTATGAACTTTCAAATACTAGATCTCACTTACGTCTGCTAAATTTATTTACATTTTGCGGCCGGCGAATAGACATTTTGTGATACTGGTGATACTGGTTTCTGCTTCCCTGAAACAATTTCGCGCAACAGTGTCAATGCTCTGTTAATGCATAATACATTTGTAATAATTGACTATTTTGTGAATTCAGAATTGAAAGACTGGTATTGTTTGAAGGGCATTGATCAATGATTTTTTAGAACATACAGTTCAAAGGTTTATATAGTTTGGTTCATTTGTTTGTTTTGATTTTATGTCCCTTATTTGTTTTGCTAGGGATGCCCTAACAGGGTTTTGTATGCCCGGTATCCCAACATTTTGGCTTTTTTTTTATTAAAGGAGCCGTGCCCATAAAATGCAAAACATTTACTAAGACATTACTCAGTAAAATAACTTCAATATGCCACTATGTACGACTATAATATAAATTAGTTTAAAGTCTCATATTGTTTTGTTGTTGTCCCAAGTAATTCGTGATAACATACAACATGTACAAACACTTATTCTGCTAATAACTTATCCTAAGATTATTCTTCTGATATAGTTTGAGCAACAATGCAAAGTTGTTATTTTACATCATATGCATGCTTAAATATTATCATAAATTGCACCATTAGAAATGCTTTTCATTTTGCATGAAAAAAAATCACAGTGCATATATTTTACTTGAAGGAGCCACCACAAAATAAATCCATATAAAAATCAAATGCACGTAATAAAACATACGTAAAGTTGTATTTGATAATAAAACAGAACTTTCTTGAAACATTTGCAACTGTTATAACTTATCTAAGATTTATGTAGATATTTTTTATATGCCACTATTTTTCGAATATCATGCAAATAAGTGTTAAATTCAACGTCACTGCTGCTGTTTAGATTATAAGTAAATATTTGCCTGTAAAAACTTCCATATTTTTCTGTCGAAAGCTACAAACAATGTATAAGTAGCCAAGAATGGGGAAATGCAGCCACTGTAGCATTATCATATTCGTTTTATGAGTAAGAAAGTAAATTTAACTTCTCAAATGTAAAAATAAGGATATTTACTTTTTGCCTACTTAAAGCACACCAAAAATAAGGAATATATATGCATGAGTTAACATCCACATCGATTGTTATAAATAAAATATCGATCCACAGCGATAGGATTTGGACAGGGGAACTAGAAATGAGCCATTGTGAAGTTCACTTTGGCAAATAATAATAATAATACTATTATTAATAATAATAATAAACCAAAACATAAAATACAATTCCAAATATCTGACACAAGCAGTGATACCGTTGCTCCCCATTTTTCATATATGTAATTGCTCATTGTAGTAAATAACACATTGCATTCATTGCTCTGCTTATGAGCATACTAAACCCCAGCTTAAAAGCACATCTGAAGTAAACAGATATAGACCTTCAAGACAGTGTAGGATACTCCAGAATTCATTGTTCTATTGATATAAAATGGATCAAAATGGATCAAACAGAATGTCACCGAATATTCGCTGTCTTTGACAACTAATACATTCTATGAAGATATTTCTGATTTATCTGTTCGCCTACACACGTTTTGCAGTTGAACGACTCATGCATTTTATTGTTACTTTAAACGAATTTATTTTGATTCAATTAAGTTTGAAGTTATAAGATTATTGAAGCATTCTCAATCCGTTCCAAGCGGTACTAAGCAATGGGTGTAATGTTTCTTGCAACGGCTTGACCTTCAGGGGGTTTGAAGACGGCAAGTAATTCCTAGATAACTTGTCCGACGCATTAATCATTCGGCTGCATCTGCGATAACTTTTAAAAATACAAAATGAAAATAATCAATCTTTTTCAAGCGATTTCTTTTTATTTCGACAAATCAGTAAAATATAGAAGTGATAAGTATTACGTATTTTAACATAAAGAATAAATACATTAGATTAATTGAATAAATTGGATATATTATTTTATTTCTTCATCCAATCATTTATTACATTTGTATTCTGTATAAGTTTGTTAATTAGTTAGTAAGTTAATGCAAATCTTGCCACTTATCTTTATAAAATATGTCCCTTTAAATAACAACAACATGATTAATTGAAAATAATTTCAAATTCAACACAATTAAAGCTGGAACGATATAATTTAATTTCATGTTTACATGCTGGTCGGGAAATTGCCTTTAGTATCATGTAAAAGTATTGATTAAAGAATTGGCAGAATTGAAAAAATGTGCTTCTGCTTTTGCGTTCTAATGCACCAGCTTCATTTTTTATATCATTTGTAAAAAAATGAATTTCTTTTTCAGTCAGAAATGTTTAAATTCTACAGGAAGTCAAATCTTTCACATATGGTAACAGCCAAAATATCAAATAGCATTTTTTTAAGTATGTAATGTTGTTCATATAACTCATACACAAATGTATAATGATATAATATTACAGTGTTATAACTAACAGGAAGTGCTTGCCGTGGAGTATGTTTCAAATTGCTCTGAAAGTAGAGGAACTCTTTCGCCAACTCGTCTGTGACATTCCTCAATGTCTTTTCTGAATTTTTCATCGTCTTTATCTTCCAAAGCATTATCACTGTGAAGGAAAGATTATTGATTAGTAACCATTGAATAATCGAATAGGCAGCTTTAACCTGCAATTACACAGTAGAGCTAAAGAGAAAATAATTTGTATACATAATCTCAGAACTTCTGGAACTGTTACACATTTAAACAGTTGGTCTGCTTTGTAATTACATTATGGTGTCTTACATTGCTTTTAATGCTTCATGGTAAAACTCTTATCTCGTTGATATATTCATCTCCTATTGAAGTTGAATGTTCAGATCATTCAGATGTTCAGATATATCAAAAATAGCAAACGATAGATATCCAAGATTATGTTATGATATGCTACTATATTATGATACGATAGATAGGAAGATTTGGGTTTCAGATATCAGATAAAAGTTATGTAGTAATTGATTTAGCTATATTTGGGAGAACCAAAATGAAATTATCAATGATGATTTTTTAAATCTGTATGTCAATAGACTAAAAGATCAATACCTACAGGATTGAAGTGCCAAAGGTATGCTTCATAAGAAATTGACATATTATTCGTCATATAAAACAAAATTTACAGTTGAATATTATGTACATGTACTTGATATTGTCAAATTTCGAAAATGTTTCGCTTCTTTTAGATGTTCTGTTCACAGTCTTCTTATTGAAACAGATATACACTATGGCTTAAGTAGATATGAACGTGTTTATCTTTATTGTGAAACTTCAATAGAAGTTGAATACCATTTTATATTAATCTGTCCTCTTTAAAATGATATACGCTGCCAATATATTTCGGAAAATTACAGAATGCTACCAACACTTGATAAATTTTACTCATTAATGCCTTACAAAAATGAAATTAGAAACACTGCAATGTACCTATTATACGCACTACATAAAAGACAAAGATACTCAGATATTTTTCAATGAATACTGAAATACTGTTAAATTTGTTAGTTTTGTATGTATGTATACATGTCTGTATCACTCACTGTCTATGTATTTATATCATATATATGTTGTAAATGTTTATGGGCTGGAGGTCTTAAGACTTATCAATAAAATTTTGAAATCTTGAAACCAATATATGAAAACCTACGACTTGCACTGAAATGATTAAAAAATATAATTATGATATTATTGCAAATTTGTGTGTTTTAAACATATCAAAATATTACAAGTCGTTTAGCTTTTGTTTCATCAAGTAGGTTTTAACTTAAATTCTATTATCAAAGTTGTATTCATCATATCTTATATGCGGATTCAGCAGACGTTTCGTGTTTAAACATTACCATTGCATATTTAATCTTAGAAAGCGAACACTGAAGATCACCTGTTATAGAACAAGAAATTGCTATGATAGACTGTTCCGCAAGTGTATGGAATAATACCCAAGAAGTGCAGGAATGTTGAAATTCTGTGGATGATCATTGCAAAGAATTGAATCATAAGAACAACACCATAAACAGCTATCACCGCAAACCCTGAAAGTAACATCAGTTTATCATCTATAAAAAGTAATTCTATTTGAAAAATGACATAGTTGACATGTTGATATTTTCATAGTAAGTTATCGACATTATAAAAGATAGCGATTATAAAATTTTCAAAAGTCAACCATCACAACGACAAGTATCCTTACCAAGAGTCAATACACTGTTAAACGTTAAACTTTTGTTTTAACAAAGAAATAACTTTTTTAGGTATATGTAAAATAGTTTCAGTATTTGCCTTCATTTTGTACAAATTTTCTCAACAATTTCTTTGATGTGCATGCTTCAGTTCTATAATGCTTATTTTCGTTTACAGTGTCAATAAAACATCGTCGGATACCCACGGCCGAACCATTATCATTCATCAGCCGTGGGATTTTTTGCCGATATTCAGTCGATAAGAGGTGTGTCAAAGGCAGCTATTTCATTGGCTGCCTCACGATTTCATGAGGCGATTAAAACCAATCAAAACGCTCGTTCTGTACGACGTTCGGTATTACAGACAATATTGCGACAACCATAGACGACGTAAAAAGTTTAACATCGAAAAATTAAACGATTTCCAGCAAGAAAGTATAGATAATTTACTTTTACAGCGTGATTTTTCCTTTATGATTGATATCTGCTTGCAGAAGAACTGTTTTGGCGATGATTTTAGCAAGACACGTGCAACAGTTTTTAACCGTGGGCGCTGCCATTTTGTTTCTTATTGTTTTTTACCTCCGCTGTTGAGGAATATAGATTTGTTAAACGCGATGTCATTGGTAGATATTTTACGCACCTGTTGCTGTATATCGACGCAAATCGATTCATTTTACCCACGGTTGATTGCATGTTATGTGACATGTTTATCAATCGTGGGTATCCGACGATGCAATAAAAAAGCTTCAACTTACCTATCGGATTACTTCCAAACACACCAAGTAGTTTTCCCTTATCTGCCAACGTTGAGATAAGTATTAACCACAGAACATTAATCATAGCAAATACTAAAAGCCACATGTTGCGCGAGTCCTTAAGTTTCACTATATTAAAGTAAAAGACAATATTCTTTGTCACAAATACTAACACGAATAGAGATCATACAGGAAGAGTGTCATTCAATTTCAAATGATTTAGAACAACAATACAGAGTAATACAGGAAATCTATTGTGACAGTCAAACCATGTTAAACTGTACTAAACCTATCTTTCGTGCATTTACATCTGCAGAGAAGCCAAAGGACGCATTTAAATTCAAAGCCATTGAAATCCAAAGCCAGCATTTTGAAACTAAAAGCTAAAAGAATCTTAATAGACAGTGCATAGTTACAGAAGTATTTATTCAAAGCTAGATGAAGTATAAAATGAGAAATATTTTGAATATTTTGAAATAAATAGTAAAACAAATATTGATTCAATTTACTACTTGAACAGCGCTGAATTTATGCCCATTATTTAATTAATCAGCGCTTGCCTCTTGATCTTCTAGTATTGAAGAAGATAATTTAAGATTTGTTTTCTACATATTATAGGTTTTAATGATGTTTGTAATGTTATTTTCAAATATAAATGGTCATGTTTCAGTATATCTTTTTATTGGGCTTTACGTCACACCAACACAGTATAGGTCATTTGGTGACTTTCCAGCTTAACGAGTGCAAAGAGACCTCATTTGCACCTCTGTGTGCTTTTTAGGTACAAGGTACAAACGAACCGGAGTAGAACCGCCGACGTTCCTTAAGATAGTTTTCTCAAACGAAAGACCCGAAGGCTCGTGTTTTGAAGCCAACGACCTTTACCATTCGGCAATCGACGCCATGTTTCAAAATAGCTCTACACAAAACGCTCTTAACAACCATTATGTCAATGCTGTAAAATTAAATCTAAAAGTTGCAACGACCACTATAGAATAGATCATAGCGGATTTTATAATTATAAGATTTAAAAGATACTTATGACGTCCTCAAACTTGTCAAACCTTTCAAGTGCTCATCGGATTCGAAAACTGTTGACCTTGGCCTTAGACACTCTTCTCCAACTTGTTTCCAGAAATCTGTGACTTCGTTGTTCAGTTCTTCAGAACGTTTTTCTTCAATTGCATTACAAGCTTCAACTTGTTTTTTCTGAGCTGTAATAATATTATGTAACATACATCACGAGGAGTATAAATCGATTTTCAATATCAAGTGCAATGCTGAAAATATGGATCTAGTCCAAATAAGTAAGACAACATGAAATAAAAGCGAAAATGTTTAATCCACAAATGTAACCAATGCAAGCTAACATGTCATCTTTATCAGTAAAATATTATTAATCTTTTTACATAAGAGGATATCTAAATACTGAAATTTAATAAGATAACGTTCAGTGAATTCCTTTGAAATTTGAAAAAAGGATGACATCTAAGTTTTTCCATAATATAGAAAAAGTCAAAGGGTTGTGATTGGACGAAGGTAATGTTAGCTTTGTGCATACTGGTAAGTCTTTCTTTCTTGATGAAAAAATCGAACAAACGAACCATAGCGAATGTAACTTCCTCGTTTATAAAGAGGATTTCGGTCAACATCAGTTTTCAATGACATTGTCAATGTTAAAATGTAAACATAGTGCGTCATCCGAATTTAGACTCTATCAAATAAGCGTTTGTCAAAATGTTTATATTTTGAAGCGGGTGTGCTTAAAGAGACAAAATGCTAATTTGTTCATTGTCGATTTGAATTGTCTAAATAATTCATAGATTGAAATTATGATTTACCAGCAGTTGATATTGGAAAATGTTCAGGATATAATATAAATCTACCTAAAATATAAAACAACTGTCTCACTTTTAATAATTGAAAGTTACAGGTTATTTCGATGAATATTTTTTGAAATTTCCTTTGGCCACGTGAGTTATTTATTATTCATGTGAGGAAAATAATAAAATTGAAAGGATGACAAACTTTTATTTGACTAACAGATGTTCACTTACTATATACCCTTGGATGGGCAAAATTTTACTTTAGGGTTTAAGATCAAATGGGACAAGTACAAGTGATACTGTCATTTCATTTAGAAATGAAACTACTTGAAGATAGTCTGTAATGCCTTTCTACTAAACTTACCATGTGACGGTTTTCGTAATGCTTTTATGGCTATCAGGAACCTTCTGATATGACCTACAAACATATTAAAACCCACTCAGAACAAATTTATGCGCATCATAAAAAGGCAATGGATAACGCTATCACTTTAAATAATTCGAGATGTAACCTGTTTGCTGAGTCAAAGTCATTAAATTTATGTAGCCTATGTTTGCTTAGAATGTTTCTATTAAACAACATTGGATGTATTTGTAATGTCAATGCCAATATCTACGAAATGAATATACAATTCTTAGTAAAGCAGAACGTCCAAGAGCACATTGACTAGACACAAATACATTGTTTAGTGTTGGAATCTAGATATTTTTGAATGAAAAACGTTTTGAAAAATGGTAGATTTGTCAATATAGGAAACTAAACACACACCTCTCTTGTTGATGTGGAATGATTTGACATCATCTTCCTTACAGTCTGCTAGGATTTCAAGATCAATTTGATCTTTGATATTTGCCTCAAAGAAATGGTTTTTGTATTGTTCCAAACCAATTTGTTTTAACCAACTCTCAACATTTTCCTATATTCAATCGGAGAGAAGAATAATTATAGGACACGAAATAGGACAGAAAACATGAACATGTTATAAAATATACCTTTCACTTGTTATTCGAATAAACTATGCATGAAATTATCACTTCAATCATTCAGTCAGGATCTGTGTTTGTTGTCTAGCTAAAAGAACTAGAAGAAATTATGACCAAATAATAATGCCAAGCTGATTTCTTTTAATCAAACAACAATGCCGATTTTGCGTTTCCGTTAAAATGGTATTCCACAGCCGCATGTTTATATCTTGAAGTGTGACGTCATTTGCGAAAAACAAACATAGCGTAAACAAGGGCTAAATATTAGCATTTCACTATATAAGTGAGTCATTATAAATCATTCTAGAATTTGTTGACTTAAATAATATCATTCTTGCTAAAGGCCAAAGGAAACGTTGATCGCGTTGATCAAAAATTGCTCACATACTGTTTATTTAATGGGAAAATGTTTTGCTTAAGAATTGTCTGGAATTTTGTTTTTAATTTACCTTACAATCTAATGGTATAATATAAAAGACTGAACCGAGAATAAATATTCACGGATAAAATATTTATAGATTTTGGCATAATGTTCTTTACCCAGGAATACTTTGATGGTCCTAGTTCGATTAATTGAGATGTACTTCTAGAAATGACAAAATTATTAAATGCACTTGTAAGGCAATGCTTAATATGCTAAATAGATAATCTAATTATCAGCCATGAAGTTTGACACTATAAGATCAAAATGTATTTAGAAGCTATAGACCTTATGGAACCTTTCGAATTAAATATTTCTTTTGATTTCCATTGCAAGCAGATTTCTGCTCGGAATCAAATTCTAGAAAAACTCAAGGAAAATAACAAATAAAACGTAATGTCACACGCCATGGCATTGCAGATACCGCGTCGACACACCAGATAAGAAAATAGTTAATGATCACTGAACGATCAATGTCTAACTGACGGGAAACAAAAAAAGTTGTTATGTCACAATGCCCCTCAAGTCCTTAAGAGATAACTTGTTAAAATGGAATATTGTTTCACCAGTATAAGAATTTATTATGGAGAATATGATAGGTGTCTATCTAGAAGTGTTCTCTATATAAACTAGTGGTGTCGACGAGAAGACGAAACGTATTGCGACACAAGCGTTGTTCATTGCCGTAATTATTTTTAAGCATTGCTTTTTACTATACTCACTGGAATTTGCAATGGAATTTCGTAATCTTTCAGTTGTTCAACCATATTAATAATTTTCTTTATTTTTATCCGGTCTGAAATGTAAGTGTCAACTATCGTAAATAAAAGGTGTGTTATTTAAACATCCTTTATAAATTATGTCATACTAATGCACAGCTAACAAGCAAAGCTATTTGAAATTGCAACTTTTCGTTTATTCTTCAAAAAGTGTCTTCCTTTTTAACTGTTTTTCATATAACCATTATTTTACAGGCATATCAAAATTGGGGTGAGGGGGTAGAGAGATTGTTTTTATCATGTTCAAACCTGTATTCTGTTTAATGCTTGGGTCTGATTCGGTAAAGGTTTGACTGGGGCTTAAAAAGTATTGTTACTATACAATAACATAACATATATTTTATAAGCATTAAACATATTGAACAATGTTTATAGTAATGGTATATGCAGCAAAGGTTAACATGTTTTGCAGAAGAATAGAATATGTGATTTATTGACGACATGAATTCTTTACCGACAATCCAACTAAATGTTGTAAAGGTTGACATCCTTATATCCCGAAATTGCTTTAATCGTTTATATCATCAATCATGGCAATTCATAGTGAACAAAGAAATGAAAGACATACCCTTTATACCAATTCTCTTCAGATCTTCTTTTCTAATGTTACTGATAAAAGAAGTTTTCTCGAAGCCATTTTCTTTCAAAAGCTTTGCTTCTTCAGGCTACAATGATTTCAGAACATGTTTAATGAGTCCAAAAGAAAACAAAAAAAGGGGGGGGGAATGTTGTCTTGATTTTTGTTGGATAATAGAATTAAAAGTCAAAATATGGAATGTACGTATTCTATCAATGTCTCCATTATGTTTTTCAATTACTTCATGCGGAATCTTTGGAAGAGGAATCTTTGGAAGATTCCACAACTTTTCTACAAACAATGAGCACAAACAAAGTGTCTCTGACTGAACAACAATAGCAAACTAACATATATATCAAAATAGTTACAAGGTCACTGTCGCATTCAAATTCCAAAAATAATACCGCGCTGACATTGGGATTTACTAAATGTTTCAATGTTAAAAAATTACTACCATATCTTGTAACCATTTCTCCACAGACTCGTCCTCTTCGCTTTGCACAGGATCAACGCAATCTATATGTACCCATAAAACAGTTAATGAACATTTGTTAATCACCCCACTTTACAAAACATATTTAATAAGTTAAAGAATTATTATCCAATAAGATATGTTTGCTTTACATTTAATAAGAAAATTATATTATTTTCAAGATGAAGATAATTATTTAGTAGCTACCGGAATGCTTCCTTCTTGATTTCGCAAAACTGTTTAAAAAGGTCTGAACTTTGGCCGATGTTAACAAAAATCTTCAACCAACAGTTGTGGCTGTTGAACACATGTTCACATACTGATATAAAGATAGTATGGATTTCTTCTCGGCATTTTGTTTGCGCTATTATATTTGCTTCGGGGTAATATATTTTTTTATCAAATAGGTATTACATAGAACTAGAAATAAGACATAAGCACATTTTATATATGAACAAGTGGTTCATGATGGCCAAAAGATATAGGCTAGATATAAGAAATACTTCATAATTAATGTGCATAATGCTATATAACTGCTGCCTGTAGTCATTTTCCAAAATAACGATAAGAAACGCAAGTTATTATACATTGCACAAAAGTATTGCTGAACAGTTAAAAAGTTTATTAGTGCTGCAGAATACGTTGTTTTGGAACACCATTTTAGTTTACATACAATATTCATGTGAGTTAAATAGCAAAGATGTTCTATAATACAACTCATTTGATAATCGACCATTAGATTATAGAAACAACATAACATTATCTTTTACCGTAAATTTTATAAAACGTTTTTCATTAAAAATATACTTTATACGAAAGTATAACTTTTTAAACGAGTTTTCATAAATGTCCAAAACGTTTTAAAAACATATTTTGTTTAAAGCAAAAGTTGACGCCTTACGACGATCAACGCACGAACGCCAATAACTTATCTTAAGCAGTTTGTGCATACACCAGGGCACTTTTACAATAGTTCATCTAAGACATGTTGTGCTCTAGTCAAAAAAAGATTACACTTCTTTATCCTCACACTTAAGACTCTTATTTAAGTTCTATTTTTATAAATCAATTTTCTGGTGATGTACCAAAAAGTTACAATTTTAAAAAAGATGAACGATACAGTAATTAACATATGAATCATATCACCATTTGGTTCCGTTGTATCGTCGTCACCAGATTGTGATGTACCATACGATTTAGCTTTATATATAGATCGTTCTAAACTTTTATTGGTGCCTTGATTTTCTGATTCTTGTACTTGTTGATGCTTGTCTTGCCTTGAAAAACACCTAAACACATAAAAATTAAAAATTGACACAAATGATAAAAATATATTATTAATAAGTTATTATAAAATAATTCAGGATAGCTATTTCGTCAGATTTTAAAGTGACATTGTGCCTTTCAAAGTGTAAATGTTAAGTTCACAGGTAAACCAGAAATAAAATTTACATGTTTTCAATTTTATATTTAATTATGAAAAAACAACAACAACAAAAAAAAACAAAAAACAACAATTATCCACATGACACATGGAAATTTCTTTAACTATCGTTCACAATAAACGGATAACGTTCGAATTTGAGAAAGAATATGTCCGTTCTTTTATATTTTTGGGCAGATTTATATATTTTATCCATAACATTTTCCAATATAAAATGTTGGTCAATCACAATTATAAGGGGTGTTCAATTATGAATGCAACTGGGCCAACTTCTAGAAGTGCTTAACAAACAGTGCCAAATAATTATCTTATAACATGCCACCATGTGATATACAAAGTTTAAGTCTTTTCGTCCTATTGTTAAAAGCGTTTTCAGGATCTTTTCGAGGTACATTGTATACTGTTCAGACTATAGAAAATAGCCGAACCGAGATTTTTTCCCGTTTGATATTTTCTTCCTGCAAGGATGCTTTTTGAGTTTCGGAAATAGGAAAAAGTCTCAAGGGGCAAGATTTGGCGAAAAAGGAGGGTGGGAAATGTCAACAACATTTTCCTGTTTCAGATATTCTCTTTCAATTGCCGCTTTGTGTGCATTGTCATGCAACAACCTGACACCACGGAGACCAGTTGCTTGCTGGTCGACAGTTCTTGAAATATTCTTTAATATATGAAGGACATTGCCTTTGTAAAACTTGGCATTTACAGATTTACCCTTTCGTACGGAAATTTGAATAGCAGGACCTTGATTGACGCTCATTGTGCGCTTTGCTATGCAAAGTCTTTGACTTCCTTTACTTTGACTCATAAAATTGAACTCAAGTCTCATCACCATTATTGATATTTGCGAAAGATCGATTGTTGTATTTAAGGAAAGGTTTCAACAATTGTTTGGAGAGTCTTACTCAGCAAGTGTTTACTTTTTTGTAAGGAGATGGGGTATCCATCTGGCACGTATCCTCAAATTTTTCAATCACAGCTGAGAATTGTATGAGCGACTCCTACAGAGATACCAACGTCTTAAGCTATATAACTAGTTGTAAATCTTGCATCAGTAGCAATTAAGTCCTTTACTTTTTCAACCATTTTTGGCGGAATTACATCAACCATTTTTGGTGAAATTACATTTTTCTAACGGCATGCATGAAGTGTATCTTTTTCTGAATCCACACCACTCTGAAAATTCTTTCACCACGGTGTGACAGGCGAAAAGGAAAGTTCATTGTTCCCATAAACACGACACATTTCATGAAGCATATCTTTCGCCTGTATGCCAAGAAGACATCGGTTCTTGATAAAGACACATATTTGATCAGTAAAAGGTGACATTTTCCCAACAATTTTAGCTTTAGTATACACGCGTATACATCGTTAAATGAGCTATTGTTAAAGCTAGACTGAGCTGAACTAATTTCCACATGCATTGTATCAATTGAGAGCTAATGCAATTATCTATGCAAAATATGTACATAGTCCGTGCAAAACGTTGTTAAAAACGAGTATTGACCTAGTTGCATTAATATTTGAGCACCCCTCGTATAGCAGTCAATCCTTTAAAATATATAAAAAATTCAGCTCAAATTGACATAAACTGAGCATAGTGTCACTTTAACACCATAAAGATAGTCTTGTCCAAATTAAAAATTAAAACATATTACATATAATGTAATTCTAAAATGTATATAAGGTTAGCATTTTACAAACTAATATATGTAAGGTTTAAACATTGAAAAAACTTAACATTCAATTTTAAAAATATTACACTCAGTTGTAACTCTCACTTCTTGGACCATTTAAAATATATGGGGCGTTATCCACATTCATCTGTCATAAATTTTGAATTTAACTTCAATAATATCCATAATACTTACGAGCACAAAAATTTCATCCCCGACAAAATTTTCTCTTTCACTGTATGGTCATGCAAGATTTCTTGTACGTCTTCTCTTGTTCCTTTTTAAGGCAAATGCAAGTTTATACTAAATTCAACGTTAATAAATGAACAACAACTTGAATTATTACAATCATTCTCGAAACTTTAAATTGTCTTCTACAAGATGATAAATAAAACCATTACTGAAAGTTTACAGGCATTTAAATTATTTTTTATGTTATATCACTTCTTACATGGTAAATACTTTTACATTTTGAATTGTTAAGGATGTTTGAATTCTTAGATATTTTTTTTACCCCAGGAACTGTCGGTTATATTGCAGATGCTGTATATCATCAATACCAAATAACCCGAAGGCAGTCCAAGTAGATACACAAATCCATAAAATATAATCCAAAACTCTGATAGGTGTAACACAGCGGTAATGAGAAAAATAGCTGCCATTCCTATCAAATAGACACTGGTCGATGATAATTTTAAATCGTCACTGATAACTGAAATATACATTTAAAGTTAGAGAAATTGGTTAACATGTATAATCTTAATAATACATACAATGTCAAATGGAAACAACAAGGTCTTTGAAATGACTACTTTTTACCCAAAATTTCGAATTTGGGATACGATTGAAATATTCGATTTTACAAAATATGATGAACATCATCACCGTGCATATCAAGTAATGCAGGAATGTGCAAATAACGTAAAAGTAACGTCGGATCTGTGCAACGTTATAGCCAAAACGAATAACACGTTAAGTAAACAAACCAAAGTAAATCAAATTTAAACATACGACTGCTACGACATTATACTTTACCAGCACTTCAATTGTTTTCAAGAATATGTTAACTTCTTTAGATCATTCGTGAGGAAGACAACCGGATTACCGTTATGAAGGTGACTTTTCTGTTTCCGTCAAATAAATATGTACATATAACTTGTAAAAACATTATATTTTTATATTATGTATACCTAAGACATTTGTCAAACTACAAGTGCCGTGTAACAATAAAAGGAAGCTGGTAAAATAAGATTTAGTAACTACTAATGGGATAACCGCCGTTGCTTCAGTGCTTCATTCGCTAATTCGGCGTTATTTCGTAAAAATTGTCTCAATTGCATTTTATCTGCTAAATTAAGTGTCATATGTCACGAGTAGATTGATTGGAAAATGTCTCAGGTATACCGAATATAAAAAGTCATAGAGTAATATGTACGTGTTTGTATTTAAAGATATCAACAAAACTAAAAATCGCCATCAATAATCTAGTCAGGTCGTCATTTTCACGATCATGAACTATTTTGATGAGGTTTAAAGTATAATGTGTCAGCAACTGTTTGCGCTAATTCATTTCTTCCAATTTGGTGTACATTACAAAAAATTTGGTCAATTTACTTATCGCGGTGCTCGTTTTAGCCACTAAATTGCACAATTCTGCGTTACTTTTGCACAATTCCTGCTTTATTTGCACATTCCTGCGTTACTGGATAAACACGGTGATCACATGTGAAATGTGACCCAGAAGTTTCTTTTATTTGACACTATGACTCTGTTTTTTTACTTAGATGAACATCTTTCAATTTATTCGAAGTATCATTAAGAATACCATTCTCACAATGTTTGATGAAGATCAAATAAAAATGTGACCTCTAGAATTTAAGCACGTTTGTTTCTCTTGAATGATTTCGATATTTTATAAGATCTTCTGATCGTTGCTTACAGCTCAAATGAGTTGAGCTAAAACAAAGCTCAGGTGAGCTGAAAAGCAAAAGACATTATGCCGAACAAAATGGAATACAAATCTGAAATGGGATCAGACGTTAGGAAGCTTGCATAAGACATCATATCACATATGTAAGAATATGAATCTTTAAAGCAGGCATAATTGAACATGATTCAAATAGAAAAAAATGCAACTATTGAAGGATATTAAAGGCATTCTTTGTTTTGAGTAAATAAAATAACGTACAACTTTCTTTAGCGCCTTGTTGACCGGTAATATCAGTTGCAATTTCCACTGCAGTACCAACAAGCGCTATCATCATGAAAAATGTGTATAAACAGCAATATAACTTCCCTATCTGAAATGAAATTAATACTAGCTTTCACATTCTGTATTTCAAACTGCATCTAGAGAGCATTAATTTTAACTACGCGGGCTCAAGATTTCCCAAGCACCTTTGTGCCCCTTTTCATGTCTACCATTTGATTCCTTTAAAAAAAATCTTTATCGATTCTTTGGCGTCTGCTGTTTCATTTTCATTGCATGCCGACTTTCTTTTTAATCGTTATGTTCATATTTTTTAAAACACGTTGATAAAAGTTCTCGTTCCAAGACCGTTGATCTCCTTTCTCCAAACAGCAATATTTCAATAAACATTCAGAAAAGAGGAAAGCTTAATTGGTAAAACATATTGCTTTTCAATTTATACGACAAATACCGATATAGTTAGTTTTATTCTGCTTCTTTCACTACATTGCTTTTGTATATTGTTTTAAAAAGCTTAACATCATTAAATTATCTAAAATATTACTTATGTACTAAATATATTACCTAATCGTTCCATTAAATTTTATGTCAACGATATAGAATAGATAAGAATGCATGAAATACATTTTTCAAGTTGATTAAACATTCGGTAGCATATAAAAGCATACATAAAATTGCACCAGTAAGCTCATCATTTAAAAATATATTTGTTTTTCAAAGCATTCCGAAGATCATTTTCTAATGTTTAATGATACAAGATATGAAGCTTATTTTACTCTATTAAATTTACCTTTAATGACTTTTGAAGATATTTTAATTCATTTTTGAAATACATTTATAAAGCATGTAAGCTTTGCATCAAATAGGCTAGACATATTTGTTACATATGCCACAATAGCAACAAAATATATTACTATAAACCGGTAATAAGACATATCATGCCTCATTTAGAGACACGGTATTTTGTAGCATCTCGCTCAACTGATTTTACATAATCGTTCTTACATTCGAAAGTGAATGTAACTATGATAAGTTTTAACGTTTTGAGCCAGATTGGATCTATAAACTTGATTGATATTTCAAAAAATGTGCTCTGATATTATATTAGTATAGCTTACGAAACTTTATTATGGCATGATTACAATTTCCTTTAAAGAGGAAAGAAAAAGAATCGTTCTTTATCAACATTTCTAAAAAAAGCCTATCATTTGATAATGATAAGTATACAGCATTCTAAGAACACTTTAAAACAAATATTATATGCTACCATTAGTTGTGTCCGTGACGAAGAATAAAGACATATAATTCCATAGCAGACGCTCGCAGCAACCTGTATCGAAAGTGTTACTGAAGAGTTCCAATCTTTTCCAAACTTCAATCCCCCTGTTACATACAAATCAATAGATTATTCACTCATTGGAGATGTAAATATTAGTGCGTATAAAATATGTAAAACATCGGATCATAATTCTAATTTACCTTTTGTCTAGAATTGGATTATGTCAATATCCACCCACCCGCACAATAAAAAATAAATAAATAAAAAATAAATAAATGCAAACAATCTGTATTTGAAGACATACCTGAAACAACAAGAATAACTGAGCTTGGTCCAATTAAAGTTGAAACCAGCAAAATAATTTGATATATCTTGAAGAGGAAAGACACACGTAAGTTGTTTTGTTTAACTAAAAAAATAGATAAAAACAATAATTCATTACAGGTATTCATGTACCAGTAGTAAACTTATATCCATATAAATTAATAAGAAGTGAGGTTTTACGCAAACGTAAAATGGCTGCGAAGAAACTGGTTAAATTGAAAGGAATAAGTCAAATGTTGTTGTTGTTGTTGATTTGGCCAAGCCAGTGTATTTCTCCGTAGCCTTTTATCTTGCGGAAATGGTATGAAAAAGAGTTCCATTTCTTGCCTGTCAGGGTATCTCGAGTCACTTCTATATGTACCATAAGCACAGTTTTATTTAACACGTAGTTAGATTTTCAACTTCTTTTCCTCTTACAAATTGTATATGATAAAATTTCATTAAAATAGATAAAATCGCTTGTCAGCACATGTGACGCAGTGGTGATTGGGTAAAACCTAATTTTAGAAAAGTGTTAAAGGGGAAGCGTTCTCACACATTGCTACATTCAGTAACGTCGCGCTAGTATTCAGAGCAGTGGTTTCGTCGGTCTATTTTTTTCGCTGTGCTTCTTTATTAACGCGAGTGTCAATTCGAAAATACGTCTGTGCGGGTAAAAAATAAGTAAAGCAATTGAAATAACCACTATCTGAAATATACTATAATCATAGACATTCTAGGAAATCAACCAGATGAGCAGTCCATTATTTGTTTACTGAGATAAAAAAGTATTATTCGTTGAATGGACAAAACTGTTAATAACAGATGTTTTTTGCAATAAATTGAAAAAAGAAAATGGGTACCATATGCATGTGTATGTGTTAATTTACTTTGCAAAATGTTTTAATACTCACAAAATGAATTGTGTCATCCCGCAGTAAATCATGCGACTTTTTCATAATCTTCAAAGACTCGGTTGCTTCGCATCCGAATGATTTCAAGTTTTTGATCCTTATTTTAGTTTTTCCATGTGCAAAGTTTGTATCCAAAATAGACAACAAACTTACTTAAACTCCATTCTTTAATTAAAAGCCATTGGTTCGCAAGTGTTGAAACAATCCATCGGCGCCTTTGTTTAAAAAACTCGTCAAAATCTTCAGGACAATGAGTACTATTTGTTGACGTTGCGCAATATTCTATCCGCCATCCTTTCTGGACCTTCAAAATGATAATTTACATTCATGAAACACATATGTTTATAACTTTATTGAATATTTCATAGATCACATACTCATCTTTGATTTCAACATTTACTTCATTCAGTTGAATTTCAGTTAAGAAGCTATAATTTGAAAAGTGGCGATAGTCAATGATCGGGAATATAAAACAATAAGGTGCAATTTGCAGTCTCTAAAAGTGAGCTTGAGTTCTTTTACAGCTCACAATATATTTGATTATATTTGAAATAATATAAAGAAGCAACCAAACAAACAAACATACAAACAAACAGAAAGGGTTTTAATTGCACAAATGTAAAATAAAACTTGTCAAATACGTGGAAAATGATTTTACCAAAAGCGTGCATAACCATCGGTCTTCGCCCATATCTTTTGTTAAAAATTCTTCTGCTTTTTCAACATTTGTAGCGTATAGACTCAAGACATCGTTAATTGCTTTAAGTCTGTAGACACTGAAACATCCGGGTGCACACAAAACAGTACCAAGTACATGCTCAGATGCCTGAAATGTCGAACAATATATTACTTCCGTCGAAATTGTATCCATATCATGGTAAACGTTTTAAAACACCGGATGCTGCTTCCTAAACTATATTTATTCAACAAATATTTATTTCTAAAATGAAGCACATGGCGTGATAGCACTCACAAACATAAAGAAAATACAAATTAAAATACCTTTTGAAACCAGTGACCAATTGCATATTCGAAAATCTGATACCAAACTAGCAGCCCACTTCCGAGTGGATGAGTCCTTGCACAGACCGCACCGACGCTCTCATCACGTGCCATTAGATTAATTAGTGCTTCAACACTTTTAGGGGTAAATTTGACATCTGCATCAGTTGTTAGAATGTACGATTGTTCGGAATTTTCTTAAATTTAAATAAAAAATACATTATATTGGTGGGTGAATTTTCACACCTACTTTTAGACATCTGCGACAAAACAATTTATTTAAGTTTGTATTAAAAAATGTGCCATATTTTGATCATATACAAAATAAACCTATAAAACTGAATCACTGAATCACAAATCATTACGTAAAGTATGGAACATCAATTTTGTTAACATAAAACAAAAGAGAAATTGTCGAGAACACGAACGCACGCACGCACGCACAGACACACACGCACGCACGCACACGCGCGCACGCACACACACACACCTACAAAAATAAACCAACAAAAAATGGGATATTAAGGTCATTTTTAACTACAAATACTTCATAAGTATAAGTATTGAGCAGCAAACTAATTATGCAGTATGAAAAAATCATTATGATATTTTGAGAATTCAATACTTATTTAGATTCTCATGTTCTATATATTTCTGGTGAATCTTCCAGTTATTACTAAATTTTTTATTGCACCTTCCAGGTGCCGATGGGATCGAATTTTTTGCTGTAGCCAGAGAGTTTATATTATGTACAGTAGAATTCTAAATGTTTCAAATTTGCTCCAGGATATATAGATCTTGCCTGCTGGCCAGTCAAGGAACTATCTTCATGGTCCAGAAAAAGGTGAATGTTGCTTAATTATTTAGGTTCCATGAAAAATAAATACGCCGCTTATTGAGGATATTGCTTTTAACTATTAACACGGGTAACTCTCCCCTGTTTAGACTATGCCATAGCGTATTAAAGCTTTGACATAAGTCGGACATATCAGTTACATAATCAGTAACTTAAGACGTGTAATTCAATGATGTGTTCAATTAACTTGAATAGTTTGAGCCTTAAAAACTTCTTAAAGGTGCAATTTATAAAGTGTTTGTTTATGGAGTCTCTTATATAATCAGGTTATATGACATTTGATGAAACATTGTAGAAACAAATTAACTTACGGTTTCCATGAATTTTTTCTTCCAGAGCATATTTCATATACATGACTTGGCTCCATCTTTTCTTGCTCTTTACCTTAACAAATTAATTAAGTTAAGGTCATTATTTATATTTTGATACAGCATACATTTGTTACACCATTATTATTTTTGCTTAAAGTACGGTATGTTAATTTCAGTTTCGAAATGTTAATGCAATATAATTTTCATGGTGCCATATAATTATCAAAACATAAAACAGGAGAAAATATTAAATAACCATTTTAGGCATTGCAGAATAACGTATGCTCAATATATATTGTCTTTTATGAAATAATATAGGTAACTTTTGATTAAAACAAATTATTATATAAAAATATATCATCGAAAGGAACATTTTTTCTCTTTTTAAAACTTTTTTCATGAAATTGGGTATATAAAACATGGAAATGAGAATCCTTATTTCTTTACCTGCTCAGCTTAACAAGGAAAGGTTTTGAAGCTTAAGATGATAATAATACCATATAAATATCTTACCTTTAATTTGTCTTTGAGATGGATTGTGCAATTTGAGCCCTCGGTTTGATCACAAGGCAGTCGCAAGCTTAGCGACAAACCATAAGGTGTTTCGATTTTTGTAAAAAATCCTACCTTTGTCCCTAAAAGTGTTAAATTGAAGTGTTCAAAGTCAATTTTTTCGACAATAACGACCTTCATTACGTAAATAGTCTAATGATATTTAATTATGACGCCAAAACAAATTAAATATATATCAGATTTCTGTTCCCCCTTAACGTAATTACAGCGTGATTTATATTTACAATCCTTTAAATTTTAAGCCGTCTTTATACAAATTGTTTAAAATAAATAAATTAATTTATTAATTCATAAATAGATAAATGAATAAATACATAAATAATATAAAAAACAGCAGGAAATTTAGGCTTTCATCAAGTCGAATTTTCCCTTTTACATTTTGTATATCATTTAAAGAAGATAATAACAGTAAATTAATATAAAGTTTATAAGACATCAAATCCTTTTGTATAAAATGCTAATAGTTATTCAGGTCTTAATTTAGATAAAACATATTTTATATGCTTATAAACATTGACTTTTTTGTTCGAATGACACTGTAGAAATTAAACAATAGTTTTTTATAAACGCTGTTGCAAGTATAACTATAGGGGAATAGTAAAGTTAAACTTAATAATGATAATAATAACTTCTAACCAAACACTTCTTCAAAAAGCACAACTAGCTGAAGTAGATATTCCGTCGGTTTTCCTGCCTTTACAGCACCATCGAAGAAAATATGAAACTCGATTTTAAGTCCTTTAGTCCTAAAAGCGTGGTTGTTAAATAATCTGAAAGATTCGAGGAGTTGTTTCATCTCTTGGTCGTCCTAAAAGGTAATAAACTCAAGTTAGCAAAATGTTTTATTAATGCTTAGGTACATATTGCTTGTTATTGATATCGTAACTATACTTTCTTCCTAATGTATTTATGTTTTGCAACCCAAACTGAGATAATGGTACATGTGAACAGCGCATCTGTCTGGAAAATGTAAATTGATACGTTTTCCAACATAGAGGGGGCATGGAATCTGTGTGTCATTTTGGATGTACTCAAACATCAAGATTTTGTGACATCGTTGTACGATTGTATGGTAAATGTTAGAAGATGAATGAACAATGTAATTTGATATAAACGTACCTCTCTATACATTGTGGTGCATATAAAAACTTTCGAATTCTTGGCCAATTGCAATGGTTGCAAATATTTGTTTTCCTTGTCGGTGATTTCATTCCTTCTGGCTAACATTATCCAGTGTTCAAGTAGAGCAGAGTTATACATTGGCGTCCAAAATAACTGTTACAAAATAATTAATTCGTGTGATCATACATGTCATATGTTATTATAATTTTAGGAACTGAGGCCATCGTCTTTAAAAGTTAATCTTTAGTTTATAAATAGATATATCCTTAAAGTTCGTATTTAATATTGATTGGGCATATTACGCTTCATTTAACAAATGGATAATTTATCAATACTTAGGCGATACCGTTATTACTACGTAGGCTGCTTTACTCTGACTGGCTTAATATTCACTAATAATTACCTGATCTTCCCTCAACATAATATTGAAATCACTTTCGAATAAAACCCACCACGTCGAAAAGACCTGTGCAAGGAAAAATGCCGTCGTGGTTATCACTACGAGTGTTATACTTTTCGATGATGTGATAGTACAGTTCATCTTGTCCTCGTTATCTATACAAAACAAAAAATATGTGTATCAGAAATTTATCTAGGCAGATTTACTACTACCATTAAATTGGAAACATTTCTTTGTTTGTTTTAATGGATATTGTCTATGCTCATTTCATATAAAAATACAATGTAAAATTAAGAAAGGCCCAAGTGCATAATGAGAATATCAGTTTTCGTAATTTTTGTTCTGAAAATAATTGATATGTAATATGCAAGAAAAAGAATCAAACACCGGCTGTCGGTATATAGCTTTCGGGTAACTGCAGAGCCTCGTTACCGCCGTAAACAGTCACCCTCGAGCTAGATATATCAGTCTGTATCGGCAGCCGATGTAAGATTCATATATTCCTTCACCAATAAAGCTCGAATTTCGCCATGCGACCTATACTTTGTCGGTGTGACGTAAAACCCAATCGAACAAACAAATTAAAAAGTACAGAAAAAAGCCTGATTCAAGTCCAAATAATGTAACGACAAAGAATGTTGGCTCGAGTCAACCATTTGCACACTTTAACTTACCTGACAGAAGAAGAAAGAAATTACATGTGTTCTCAGATGCTAACATGAATACAGAAATAGGGGTTGCGAGTGCAAGTGGTATTGAGAAACCAAGTCTATGTGAACGTGTTTTACAAGCGATATAGCCGGCGAGATAGCCTGAAAATGTATATGAAGCACTTAAAACACATATAAGTATAAGTTTGATAACCGGTCAGACAATTATGACAAATAAACGTGATATTATAATTTCATGAGATAATTCAATTTTATCACATAAAACTATTTATTTCAAAGTTTGAAAGAGATTTTGAAGAGGAAGAATTAAATACAATAGCTCCGTAGATGAGCAAAAAGACCTTTACAAACACTTCATATACTCTTGAACTTAATTTTATGATTTTGTTAAGAAATATAATAAGCGATACTTTCCGACAAAACCTGATGTTATGTGTGTGTAGAAATAGAATAATTGCTCTCGACTGCACTCAAACAACGTTATCCATGCATTCTTATAAGTGTCAACATCGACTGCAAGAACAGAAAGATAATTGTAATGTAGGCCAAATTATAACAGACAATTAGAACACTCATTTACCAGTTTAAGCACTGATCGCAATATTCGAAAGAAAGGAATTGAATAATGATTTGATATAATCTATCAATTGCATATGTTTATTAGTTACTTACTGTTACGTATACATCCCACAAGAACAATTAACGTTGATATCAGATTTGATTGATTTGTCACTATGTACTATGTAAGATATAATTTCTAATCTTTTTTTTAATGTTCATAACTTCAAAGTTACAATTTCAGATCATTCCAAAACCTCAATGTTCCAGTATAATTATATAATTGTGCAAATGAATCCAAAATAAAAGTTTTGCAACTCGTAGATTTGATTTATAAAAGGCTTGCTATGGTATCGTGCAATTGCCTTATTAATATATAGACTTTTATTACATACATAATAATTCATGCTTCCTTGTGTAAGTATATTAATTACATTAAGCTGTACGAGCTTGGATTTAGGTAAGAACAAATTTAGATTTTTTGTACCTTTTTCAAAATTTTCAGGAAAAGGTGACATGTCGCTTACAAACAATATCAGCAAAGAAAATCCAAAAGTTGATAGCAGTTTTACTAGTGACATTAGTGCAGTTAATTTCCATGTTGTGTTTTCTAATGTGTTTTGATTTATTGTTTGACCTAATGAATATGGACTATCTTCAAATTGTATACTACTGCTTGATGCACATGGACCATCATTTCTTCTACTCTGAAAAGTATTATTAAATACAGGAATATAACTTTTTTTCTTTTTTTTTTCGAAATCTTTTCTGAGCTATTTCTCTATCTCATAAAATTTTGCTGTTTTTGTTGACATTTTGTTATCAATATGCATAATTGAGCACAGAATCACGTGTTTTTATGTTTTCGTGTGCAAGTTGTAAAAGTTATGACCAATATATGTGACCATTCTTCAATAAAGTATCTAACCATTGTCTTAATCTTGTATTAATTCATTCAGTTTGTTATTATATTTGGATCTCATAGCTAAACAATGATTTTATTAAAAATGATTTTATTAAAAACATGTCACTTTATAAATAACTTATTGCTTTAAAATAAACAAATGCATACATACCTCGCTATTGATCTCCTTTTCACTTTCCACCAGATATTTTTGAATTGAAGGACTCCAAGCTACAGACAATAGTATGACACTTATAGATGCTGTTATAAGTGTTCTTGTTGATGTGTGTAGCAACATTAAAATTGTACAAACTATTCCAACAACCACGCACACGAGAGCATAGGCACTTGTAAATTTACAACAACAATATTGCTGTAAATTTCGAGTACTGAAGTTTAGTCTTCTGATGTTCCAAAAGGTGTTAAGAAGTGGACAAACTATCACACAGTTCATCAACAGAATAACATGATACGTTTTACTGAGTCCTGGTATATAAAAGATAAATGAACAAAGACCACCTGCTTCCATAATGCTTACCATCGTCTGAAATACAAACTTATCGTATACAGAAAAAGAATCGTAACTATATTATTCAATATCAAACATTTTAACTACATGTATTACTTTTGCGAAGCCCAAAAGTGATTACAGGAGCTTCACTGTGGTCAAAAGCTTAAAGAAAATTGGAAATTCTTGTTTACTTAGATCAAGTGAGGCATTTTAAAAATGGGAAAATCTGCTATGGATATAAAGCAATTCACTCAAAATTATATTGAATATCTATATTTGTATTCGTGGCTCGATTTGAACAAAAATCGTTTCAACATTTGTTTTGGTCATTTTGCACAAAAAATTGTTATTCTTTAAAAAAGGATGAGGAAATGATCTGCAAATTTGCACATTAGTTATCAGTCCTGACCTACATCGAATGGTTCAAAATTCATAGCGGAATATTTCTGGTCCCTTCATGTCAATCACGAAGTATCTTTAAAAACAACAAAGTAAAACTGGTTAGCTTCCATAGGTAAGTTTTTAGTTTTCCATGCAAAGCAACATAGAAATGTTTGCATAGCTTGCATAACGATGACATAATTATTTCATGTAGGGTTATTTATCTTAAAAATGAACAATTAAAAATGTATATTTTTTTTTAAAACAAATCTGTCATGTTTCGTCAAGTGAATTCAGTTTCTAACAACAAAATCTTCGCAGTCGGTAAGGCAATTACTTTTTATAAAGTCTTGATAAGTATGCAAACATGTATATAAAAATTATTAACATTATATCAAATGAATGCATCAAAATCCTCAAAATATTTGACACTAAACTAAGGGTACCTGATAAGTTCTATACTATTCTCAATATTTTCGACAAAATTAAAAAACAAATATTGTGTAAAATAAAATACTAGTAAGTAAGTTTTTACGTAAATAAATTGTTCACCAATAAATGTAAAGTGAACTGTCCGGTACATTTTATTTAAGAACTATCCTTTACTTTTTGTTTCGTAATGGCAAAAACTATCATTTATATTTCGGATTAGAGCTATTTTTTACATTATTTTAAGAATTGCCAATGTGATTTCCAGATTTCATTTTGTTATTTTAAAATGACCAATGAAAACTCGTCGTATATTCAGTTCTTCCCTGTAAAGTTTACATGAAGTTTAACTGAAAACAGACCGGCCTATCACATTGCCACCACAAGTATAGGGCAAAGAATGTCGGCATTATTTTACACATTGACCCGCCTTGATATTGCTGACTAACTTTCAGTTTTAATCTATACATCCCAAAAAATTAAACTTCCTTAAGCGAATGATGGATCCAGTTCAAAAGTGAAGCAGAAGTAAGATTAAAATGCTTTATCGACAGAATTTATTATGTTATGTTTCAATTTTAGCAAGTATTTAATTTTTGTATTTTACAAATTGTATTAATTTAATAGAAATTATAATTTAAATAGGGAAATATATATGACAGAGTTTAACACTGAACAGAAACTTATAACCCCCTTTTGTTTATAATGGGAATCGTGTAAATACTGTATAACAATGAATCATAATAAAGCATTAGATTTTATCTAACAAAGACGGTAATGAGGAATTTCCTTATTGACCAAAGTTTTCTTAAAAATATTATTCTAACTTGGTTTATCATGGCACCCTCAAATCTAAAACTCGATAAGACAATGTTGTTTGCCCTCGTTATCGAATACAATTGGACAATGCAACAAAATGTTTATAAGATACAAATTTCAAACTTTCTAAGTTGGTAAATCGGATTTCGATGCATAAAGCAAATTGTTTTTATTAAAAAATTGGTTGGAAATAAGTTGCTTATCGTGGACATAGCTTCGTAAAATGCACGGTACTTAAATGGTTAATTAAATTTCATGACTTTAACGGCGGCAGGTTAGTCAGCTGTTGTTTTGTTAATATTTGTATAGAAATCTTTTGTTACAAATTGCTTAGGGGTTTATTCGTTATATTTAAAGTATATTACATGTATATTTAGACCTTATATCTTTCAGTCATCCCTTTTTGTGATGAAATATGCTATAAACATATATCTGTAAATGAAATAACAGGACAGTCTTGGAAAAGATAATTGGTCGTGAAACACATTAAGTCTGTAGCACAAAATATAGACATTCTATTTTTAGTAAATGCTAGACTTAATACGTCTAAAGCAATGCTTTTATAAACCATAGGGTCAATGTCTCTAGTCATGTTTTTTTTTATAAATTTCAAACGTGTATCTTGAAGACGTCATTCAGGGTTATCTCACAATTAGCACGAATTCAAATGCTCTCAGTTATTAAAAGAACAAATTCTTATTTACATATTGATGAAGGTTAGAATCTTAAATAAAATATTACAATGTACATGTAATATATAGAATATAATTTTTAATATCCTGTTATGAATGTGATGTTATTTTATCCATTTTATTACTGATATAACATAAGTTCCTATAGGTCGCAAAATTCGCCTGCCAGATTTTTTCACAAAATACGCACGTCACAAATAGGTCAGTTTCAAAAAAATGAACATTTACATTTCAATCCCACAATTAATGATGAATTGATCTTTATTTTTTATCATTACTTGGATCGCTGCATGTGGCCTTGACGTTTTTTTGCCAATGATGGTGATAATTGTTTTCAGTTAATACTAAAACCCATCCATCCATTCAGAAGATAATCTTCGAACACAATCTGGTTATTTCATCATCTCTGGCGACCTTACCCTTGTGTATATTCACCTAGATTGATTTGGCACGCTCTGATATTATCCTTATTTCAAGGCTACTTAATTGTCTCTACACTTGTTTTCTAATTCTTATTTGACCTTTTACTTTCACACACCCTCATGTCTCAAAATGATTTATATTTGCACCAGTGTAAAAAATATTTTTTTTTATTTCAATGCATGTAGTATTTGGCACCAGACAGGCGTTTTCCTTTGACCTTTGTGATCGAAAGATCTGGTTTTATGTACTTCACAACGTCTGTCTGTGGTAACAACGCCTAATGGCCGTGCACAAATATGTTACATGTTTTCTTAAAGTAAATTTACTAACACAGATAACTCCGAATACGGAATAGTGTTTCTAACCGAAACTAAGTACACAGTCGGAATCAATGTGAATGAGATGTACAGTGAGGAGTAAGAAACTGATTTGAAACAATGGGCAATATGATATGTGAATTCGTAAATTTATCTAAAGTGTGGAACAACTTTAAATACAAAACTTAAACGATTATTGTAATGACTTTGTGATTTATTAGTTTATGTTTAGATATTCTATTTACATCTATTTTATGATCTGTGCCAACGATGCATTACTTTCGATAGGCTAAGTAGATCAAGTCTCTCGAGACTTTTCAAAACAGTGTACGTCTTTAGGTAATTTATGCGTAAAACCAGCAGGACTCAGACGTACAATGGTCACTGTTAAACATGAATGTTAATCAAATTCTGAACTGGAAAATTCGTTTCTAGTCTTTTATAATCATATTCTGTAGAAACTCGTGACCTTGTTATGTAATATTTCAAATAGTTAATGAGATAACAGATCTCGTGTCGAATTTTGAATAGACCCTTGACACTTCAAATTCCATTCAGCTCCACCCTGTGATATTTACATGGGATCAGTGTAAACCATAGACTAAATATGTAAATAATTAATCACGACACGCAATTGAATAGAATTAAATAAAACAACAACAAAACACAAACAAAACACAACAAACAAACTAAAAACCAAACATTAACAAGCTTACCGCAAATAACATTACTTTTCCCTTTGGCCATTTCCTATCTCTTCTTAGGACACCTCCCCACACTCCCCGAATCAAATTTATGGCATGTGGCACGAGTGATATTATTTGTAATATAACGAACATTCTGCATCTTGCATGACGGTCGAGATTATCATTACTTGCATGCATAGCACTAGACAAAGCTAGCATTGATATTTTGCTGTGTATCAAACATACCAGGAACAGAAGTGCTATAAAAATCGTTGATATCCATTTTATTGAAACTTCTGCACGCGAAGCTTTATGCTGATGGACATATCCTGGCATCTTTTACAATTTCAGTATACCTGAAACAAAAAAATTTTTGACAAACAGTTGAATAACTTTTCGAGAATTTGACTAAGTTCAGCATTATATACAACGCAATCAAAGTCAAGTTAATTACAATCGTCTTTTACATCTTTAAGACTAAAAATGCAAAAATAAATGCACTTTATCAAACGCAAAAATGAATCAGATACCTTCCAATGAATCAGTATTTAAACTTTTTAAAGCTTAAATATGATTTTATATGAATTAACGTAGTCAAAATAACAAGTGACAGTCAAATCCACCTTAATCATTCTGTATTTCGTTGACTTTGAGATCACTTGTTTTAAAAATTAAAAAAAATTCTTGATATTTTTATACAGAATTTGTTCAACTTAGTTGAGGAACTTTATTTAAGTTATGGACTGGTATGTTTATCAGTCAGTTGAAAAATACTAGTTAACTGAGAGGATTTTTGGAAACATTTTACGTTTTGTATAAAACAAAACGTGTACATATTTTTGCACGTGTGAGCTCCTTCAAGGACATTAGACAGTGTAAAGAGGTTATAATGTCTTCCAAGGAAAGAAGGGAACATGTTCACAAGAAGAGAGGAAAAAGGGTTGACTATAAATTGCTTAACGATGGTGTCGGAGACGAGGTAGAAGAATCCTTTTGGACACAAGGGCACATAACCGATCTCAAACTGTTGTCTGGAGACGTACATTCAGCGGAAGCGGAAGTAATAACCAAACATGAAGACGAAGGGAATTCGGATAAACAGAATGCGGAGGGTGCAATAGGCCCAGATATTCTTGAGATGAGAAAGGAGTTACAAGCTCTACATTAAGAGGAAAGACAATTGAAAGAACGGATGTCCGAGGCAGAGATGTTAAGGAGACAAATTGCCCAGAAAAAAGAAGATGTTCAGAAAGAGGTGAGGCAATTCAGTCATCAAAATCGCGGAGAAAAGATAACTTTGGTAAAAAATTATCTGTTCAAGATGCTACAAATTTTAATCAAATTACTATTAATGATTTACGAAAGAACAAAAAATTACGACGAATAGCTAAATCACAGTTGCACAAAATTGGTTTAGATATTTTTTGTTCTACTTCCGAGTCAGATTCTGACTCTGATAGCAATGTCAGCTCTGTAAATGAATCAACAAAAGTACTTAACCTAAGCCATGTTTATGTGTTTTTTTTTTAATTTTATATTATTTATTTAATTTAGTAGATTTTCACAATGAGTTGGCTTTGACTTTTCATTTCTTTGATTTTGAGTACAGAGCTACGAGCAATCTTTCAAGTGTTAGATAAATTTTGATAACAATGTCAGCATTTTAATTTTTGTTGTCATCCCATTGTAGCAGGAACGTTTATATTCATATATCGAACAAAACCGATAGAATCAAGGTCATTATGATATAAACGTGATCAGTTAAATTAAATAATCTTTTAATAATGGTCCAGATATTTGAATTTAACATAGATATGTAATTTGTTATCTCATATATATTGTTAGGTATCTTTTACATCCATTTACAAAAAAAAACCTAAAATAAAAAGCACATGTATCTGCTATATTTCGCCAAAGACAACCTCATACCACCTGTTTCTTTTTGTCTTTTTTCAAATTCATTTATTCAGTAGATTAATGTAAACTAATGAAGTATTTGTTTGTCCTGTGATTTTATAAGTAGCATTCCTCCAGATTCATGCTAATTGTTATGAAAGTAATTGTCAATGTATTTAAAAATAAAATATTGTGAAGTGAATAGAGAAAATGATTAACAGTTTGCAATCCGCACTTACAATCCACAATAAATACCAAAGAGAAGTAAAAAATATGCGAAAAGAGCCCTAACACATACACAAAATGATTATTTCTACAAAATCAATTAAAAGTCGCACACAACATGTAAATTAATATTTGAATCCTGATAAGTTTGACTGATATGGAGGCATGCAGCTTTAGCAATAACATATTAACAAAATATCTTTTTTTTTCATACAACTGATGCCGATGAGAAAATAGTTCATTAAAATATACGACCACAAAATGGAATTTAATAAGATGGACAATAAGAAAGATGCAATATCTCAGTAGATCTAATCAATATCAATAGAAAGCAATAAAGTTCAAATGCTAACACGGGATTTAAGTAACAAATTACTATATTTTTTGCAAATGCATATAGAAAAGTTGTTAAAATTTACTTGAATTGCACGATTTAAAAGAATCGAGAATAGTGACAGAAACGAATTGATGGGAATAATGTGGTTCACAATCTTACCTTTTGAGATATCTTTATATCACTTTCTGATGAAGATAACTTCAAATCAAGAATAGATACATTGCTTTACTGTGAAGCATGCGATTTTGTTATCTGCTCTCCAATCGTACATTTTCAGAACACAGTTCATAATTGTAAAAGAAAATAATTACAATAGTAAAGAAAGAAGAACAGTATGATTTTTTTTATAAACTAAATAATATTTACCCTAGTACATAAAAATGTCCGACCAGCATGCAAGTTGAAATTGTGATGTATAATACTAAATTTGAAGATTCAATCTTTGTTATCTTTATCTACAATAACGACTTCTTCTAATCATACTAAGTCATGTCCTTAGCTTGTGATATTAATGGCTTATGTAATTTCTGTGTATGATTACATGGTATCTAATATCTGGTACATACATAGGCCAAGAAAATATTTTTGTCATCATTAATCATTTAATTTTGAAGGAACATAATTATAAATATTATATATTTGTAAAACCATTTCCTGATTTCGTCAGCTTATCTTTATCTGGGGCTACTTTAGTTTCATAAACTTTCATGTTAAATTATGATTATTTGATTATTTTTAGAAGCGAAAAAACCGTTTCACTCTTCTGTCCTTTGTTCGTTCGTTGCTGTCCGGACAAACATTCGTTGTTTAAGGACAAATAGACTTCTAACATCAAAACACTTTCTATAATTCAATTCATAACCCTAATTGATATTTTGGAGTTCATTCAGTACCTGAAACCATTATTTTGATATAGATAAAACAGAAGTCAAAGTAGGTTACCGAAAGGATATCAACATTTGGACTTTGCCAAATATTTTCAACACTCTTGAACAACTTATATCAGTACTTTGCGCATTTGAAGCACATATCTTGTCCATACCGTAAACAAAATCTGACATTTGTTTATCTTTCTAAACGTATTAAGTATTTCCACAACCAGCTCGTTCAAGGCTGCCTATGAACTAGCTGATCAAAGTCAGGCTAATGTGTAAAGTTAAAGACATTGATAAACCGTTGATCTGAGTATCATATGAGTCGAGTGTATTACGATAAGTTAGTATAATCTATTATATCTAGTTCGTATAATATCTGATATTATATTTGCAATTGTTATAATAGTTATCTATTTAAAATAGAAAGAATCACACAATCCTTTTACCACTCATCAAATTCCTTGCGGTCAAAAATATTGTATTTTACTGAACGATAAATCATTCCAACATTAGAGCCAAATATTACTGTACGGTTAAAGACCTCAATCGCTCCTCTTTTTATACTTTAATGTTTTATTGCATTGTTATTATGGTTGGCAAATATTTTTGATATTCCATCTTAAAATAGTTACCAATGTTTTTTATAAAGTACATTAAATGAAAGCATTAAGGATGTGGTTTCATTTATCCTGAACATTTAAGGCAAAGTGATCACTATATCAGAGTAAATGTTTGAAACAATACACGGAGGTGTCATGTTATTCCACATTACACTGCCAATGCAGCAAATGTCTATGAAACAAGCAAAGCAAACGTCACATAATTCTAATTCAAGTTTCAATATAATACAACAAGATCAAAATTTGTATTGATTACGCAATTCAGCACATATACCTAAAATCTTTTTTGAGTAACAAAAACACGTAGAACCTTCATGTTACTTTAAAAATTCAATAGCAATACCAAACACTTGATAGTTGTGTGTATATGAATTGTGAAGAACTTATAGTTATTCAACTTCAAATTGGTCAGTCCTCTCTTAAAAAGTGGAAGCATACTGTGATGGGGTCGGTCCTTGTGTATTATTGTCATCTTTTTCTTGTCAGGTCAATAACATACAAATTAACATTGCAAATGACCAGTACATGACCCCGATTAATTTCGAGGTCAGCGGTTATTAAATGTCGAGGTCATCGTTTCCTTAACGGCCAACTTTGTGTTGTTGTAAGTTTATGTGTTCAGTTTTGTAATGGGTAGAAGATGAACCCGATTGATACTTTGTATATATTCCTTACCAATAGCTTGAGAAATAATAAGAGTATATATGTATGAAACTGCAAATGTCCAATTGATTTAAGTGAAAGTCAGAATGACTTGAATTACTCGATTAATTTCTAAAACAATTTGAAAATTTATTATTTATCATAGTTATTGTCATAATATGTACTGAACAAAATCACAACTAGACTCCTTAGGTCATGCACAAATAAGTAAGTGTTTTGATATAATAAAAATTCTTTACCTAAAAGTTGAAGTAAAACTAATGTTCTACTGTTATTGATCCATTTGGGTTTTAAAAGATACACACGTGATTTTATCAGCTGTCCATGCATCAATTTAGAGCATACATAAGCAAAATGATTATCTACAAGGGTATTGATAGTAGCCGAATGATAATTGTCACTGTCACTGTGGGTAATAGATAATTATTAATCCAAATAAATAGAGATCAATGCTCTGGTTCTGATAAGATTAAGAATAGTAAATCCAAAATAGAATGGTTAAAATTTTATCGTTTTTTATTTATCAAACATTGAGAACATATTGAGCTATACGCTGATGGTAAATATATAGCGATTTAAATGACCTACCTTTGTATACCTAATTTGCAACAGAAGCTATATACATTTCTAATCATTTATTATGATGCATGTGATCATTAAAGAATACTGATAGAAGCAAGTTTATTCAAACAATGTTCGCACAAATCTACCCCTTGGATCGGAAATCAGTTCATTTGTGTCAAGATTTTGTGGTGGAGACGTAATAATTTAAACAGCATAAACTTCGTTTCACCTGTATAGATAATGCTCGTGCTAAATGAAGATTCATTTGCCATAATTAATTTTCAGTCTTTTTTCAAATAGACTTAAGATTTGTTTGCACCGTATCTTTTTAAATAACATTGTATTCTGTATCATTTCAACATAACTTTATGAAAATATGCTTAAACATCATTGGAATCACTAGATACATTGGACATAGAAAATCTATAAAAGTTTAGCAGATCTTTCTAAGAAGCAATAAAATAAAACAGACGACTAGCTAGAAATAGTTGTGATAAATGAGTGTGTACCGTTCTCCACGGCCCTGGCTATGAAAACAAAATTGTACTCGAATGTTCTCAAAAACCATTTAGAGGTTTTCAAAATTTTGATTAACCGTGGCTAGCTGAAATAATTACAGGAACTTACGCCTTATCTAATCAAAATCTGTTGAATAATAGCAAAGTTTTGAAGAAAAAAATACCTAAATCGATGGAAATCTGCATGTACCGTACCCAAAAAGTCACGTAGTATGGTCACATTGTATTTTATCTAAGAAAACTATCCAGCTAGCCTTAATGACGTCGATAGTTCTACTCAAGTGCCCGCGCGTGTCGAGAAACACATGGGGTATTGTCCACAATTAGGAACGACAGTTTGCCGTCATAAGTTGGGCTAGACGTTAATTTCAACAAACAAAGCTTTGATTTCCCCTTTTTAAAGTAATTATTAAAATGCTAAATGTGCAATTTGTCTATATCTAATACTTCATATATATTATTATTATAGGCAGGTTTTCATTGAACGCCGCCTTTCCTTGTTGATCTTGTTTATCATATTTTAGATTATCCTTTACTTTGTTTTGTAGCATTCATTACAGCCAAGTACTAGCTTTGGAGGTTTATGGCCGATATCATGAATGCAGCTCATCTTTTGTGTAAAGTCTAACCCAAAGAGGGTCTTTTAACGGGGAATCAACGGTTGATTCTGCGATGGGAATTTGACCAGAATTTTCAAAAGTCTTTGCTTTTTGTGGGTAGTGGTTGCTGTTGCAAATGCCGATGCAAAGCGTAAATCAAATGGACGTCATTTAAACAGCCGACTTTTTCGTACAATCTTTACATAAGGTTAATTTTCTATAGCGTTTTTAAATGTTTTGAATTGTGTCTGATGTCGTTCTTTTGCATATAAAAACTTGAAATTTAAACATATACCTTCCAACATGCAGAAAACGAAATTAAAAAAAAATGGAAAGAATACTATTTTGCCTCATACTCCTTTCACCAAAACTAAATACAGTCAACTATCGTAATCTCGACATCGCGTTTCTCGATATTTCGTTATCTCGATGAAATTTTGAAAAGTCCCAATTGTCTTCCCTCTTTATTGTTATTTGAAATATTTGTTTATCTCGATATTTTTATTTTGAAATTTTTAGTATCTCGAAGTCTTGTGTTAGGGCAAATGGGAACAAATCAATATATTTTTCAAGCACTGCCGGTGTAAGACAAGGTATAAATTTATCGCCCCTTTTATTTTCATTATTTTTAAAAGAATTACCTGCTTATTTTTCCAACAGAGGTCTTGTTGAAGGCGTCAATTGCTATAATAATGATTTTGATGGAAATGTTATGTACTTTTTAAAACTTTTTATTTTATTGTATGCAGATGACACTGTTATTTTGTCACAATCTGCTGAAGATCTACAAGACGCTTTAAATGTCTATGCAGCGTATTGTGATAAATGGAAATTGGTTCTTAACACTTCAAAAACAAAATTTATGGTTTTCGCAAGAGGTAGACAGTTCAACACAATTTCACTTATAATAATGAAAATATCGAAATTGTTAATGAATATAAATATCTTGGAATTATCTTTTGTAGGAGAGGATCTTTTTTTGAATTCAAAATAGCATATAGCCAAACAAGGAACAATAGCAATGTATAATTTGATAAAAAAAGGCTAAATCATTATACTTACCAATTGACATCCAAATAGATTTGTCAATAAAACTGTTAAACTATTTTTAGTATCTGGATGTGAAATTTTGGGTTATGGAAACATTGACATGATAGAAAAAGTTTAACTTAAGTTTTTAAATGTATTTTAGGATTAAAATCTTGTACCTCAAATACAATAGTTTATGGTGAAACAAGTGTGACACCGCTCTCAGTAGATATAGAATCAAGATTAGTTTCTTTTTGGGCTGATATAGTTGTCCAAAGGCGTTTAAACTAACGCAAACAAATTTTTATTTTGCTCTTTATATTAGTAATTTTTTAAATACACAGCAAAGCAATAATTTTTTGTGGATAACGTGTTTTATAGATATACTCGTCAAATGCAACATGAACAATATTTGGGACACACATCTTTTTCCAAATCAAAAATGTTTGACCGCAACAGTAAAACAAAAGCTAATAGACCAGTTTCGTAACAGTTGGTATTCAAACTTAGAAACGTCTGGAAAGTGTAAAAATTTCAAGTTATCTTAACACAAATTCGAATTTGAAAGGTATATCACAAATACAGCTCCTAATTTACTTAGATATTTGATTAAATCTAGAACACGAAACCATAGATTACCAGTAGAAACTGGATCTTGGCATTGAATAGAACTTAATATGAGAAGATGTACATTATGTTATTCCTCAGTTGGAGATGAATTTCACTACCTTCTAGAATGTAAATATTTTGATCATGAAAGAAAAAAATACTTACGACCCAATTATTATATTAGACGAAGCGTTTATTCTTTTGATAAACTGATGAATATAAACAACCATAGTACTTTTGAAGAAAATATGTATGTTTATCAAGGATATAGTTGAAAAATTTATATAATGAAAATTAAATGCATATAACACGTGTAAATTTATAACATGCATATGTTAAAGTACCCAAGATACTCTCCCTTTACATGTATTATATATGCTTTTGTTTTTTTGTATGTATTCTATTGAGCCTCGAAAATTTGATAATATTTATTTACCTTATGCTGTCAATGTCTTGACCTGAGAGAAATAAAGATATTTGTATTATTCGTACTTGAAGTAAAATTTCAGCACCAACAGTTATTTCTCACTATTATCCTTGGTTTATCTCGACTGATAATTTTTCGCCTTTCTCCTGCAGAGGTGTGAAATACACAAACCAGAAAATAATCTCTTTTTAGCGCGTGTCATAATGATGATTATGTTTGTAACAAGTTAATCTGTTTTTTATAAAAGTTAATCTAATTAGCGTGTTGGTTGACTTATGTCCAAAATGAGTGCATTTTCCGTCATATATAAAATAATTGAACATTGTGTTTAATTTAAATTATTATGACTTTAAATGTAAATGAAAGAGTGAAAGAATAGAAACATTGTTTAACAACATCAAAAAATAAAAAATAAAATAAAAATAAATCAAAAATCTGTCGAACAATCTCGAGAAGGGTCCGCTAACCAACGCGGGAGGATATCTTGATCGACCATGCTGAAAACAACGTTTCACTATGGTGGTGTGTTACCTAGTAAACATCATTATGTGTAGTTATCACAGACTGCCGTATTTCCGCTGGTACTTGTAATAGCTTTGTTTAATATTGACTTTGCGATTTTAGGATCAAGAAAACAAGACATGGAGATATCACACTTAGTTAATTTTATTTATGGTATGCACATATCTTTTGCAAATTTCAGTTTTTGACTGCAACAAACCCTGCAACGTTTATCTCGACATTTTGTTATCTCTATATTTTTTGACAGTCTCGATGACTTCGAGATAACGAGAGTCGACTACATATTTGTAACGATATATTATTATTACTATTCCTACAATCAGGACTATCTTGAATACTTCAAGGACAGCCTATAAAATCAACGTTATGCAAATCTAGATAAAGTATAGATTTAATTTACAAAGTCTTACAAGCTTAGCGTTTTATTGTTGTTGTTTGGGGTTTTTGGTGTTGTAATTTGTTTGATATTTGGGTCATTTCTTTTTCAATACAATAAGAATATGTTCACAATAGGATTAAAGTGGACGCTTGAAGTGAAATTCTTCACAATGCGAAACTTTTTTAAAGGCTTATTCGACATATGCAATAATATAATCCATTACATGTAAACACACTAGACAATTTCAGTATGTAAGTATTGCACGTCATTTTTATACGCTAAAATATAACAAAACACATTCATGGAAACACGCCTACTTAGAAATAGCATGTTTCTTTTTTAAATCATTTAACAACCCATTTATATAGTCAATATGTGTGTTTGAAAAATATAAGCTACCATGATTTTCTTATTTGGCTTTCATTTGACATGCTTTTGGTATTTTCGATAATGCGTGTGTTTGAATGCAATCCCTTTTCCAGTTCTTTTGATTACAATTTAGCTCTGATTCCACAGTCGATTATCGAGTATCCACAATACAATGTAATTCGTCAAAAATATATAAAGAAATTTTACAGACAAAAACCAAGTATGTTTAAATTTGTAAACCTATTAAATAGTCAAATTTTTTCAGAATTACTTACGTTTAGCAAATATATTTTCGAGGCTTTTAAAATTAGAAATCAAATTCTTTCAAATGTGCTAATGTAACTTCTTGAAGTATGGTGTTTCATTTACAATAATATTATATGCACATTTTAATGATTCCCTTTTTGAACTGTTTAGGTATTATATTATAGTTCCTACTTTCCAGTATCTGTTGAATTCACACATTATCACATAATGCAAGTACATGTGTTTTTTCTTTGTTCTTTAATATGCAATTACATGTTGCTTTTTTGATTTTCATTATATAATGTATGCATGTTGTTTCTTAAGAAAATATTAGTTCATCCATTATTGTGTTATATATAATAATTTCATTCACTTTTCATCCTATATGTATCGTTCAATATTATATTATATGTATTATTCATTGTTAAACACTAGAAACTGTACAGTTTATGTGTAATAAAATCTGTTCTGTTCTGTTCTGTTCTGATTATGATTTCCCTCTTTAAATTAAAAAAAAACTAAAATTGATAAATCATTTAATGAACTTAAGTGAATAGTTAAATCCGCCTGTTAACTACGCCTAAAATATACTGTCAATATAGGCAAGTTTTTGTTTTAATTGTTGTTGCATTCATCACAACTTGGGGGGAAATCAGCAGTTATTCGACATTTCGTCAGTTAATTTATTAATGTTATGTTTAAACTTAATTAATCTTGATGAAGCCAAACCCAAAGGGAGGGTTGTTAAGTTTGGATTTAATCATCAGATTGATCCCGCGGGAAGGAATTTTACCATGAATGTCCAGATGTCTCAGATATAAGGTATGAGTAGTTGCTGCGTTTACAGGGCATAACGTAAGTCAAACGTATACGTATATATATGCATGTGTTCAGTGTTAAAGAAATAGTAAACTTTTGTTAAGACAGAAGTAAAACATACTGTGAACTTGAGTGGTATCAGAATGGGATTAAATACTCAGACACATATTGTAGAAAAATAGTTCTTGTAAAGTCATAAGAAATTATTGAAATTTAAAGTAGCAAAACCCTAATGGGCACTATAAGGAACTGAAAAATTGATAGCATAGGGCAGTTATACAGTGTATGCCTTAAATGTCACCTGTATGCTTAATTTAAACAAAATTTACCGTGTTGTTTATGAGTAATGGACATTTTTCTAAACTAAAACTGCGCCATTAGAAGGGCTTTTTTCAGAAACTCCAAATACTCTAAACTATCATCATTATTGAACATGTTTCCCTATTGCTCATTGTTAAGAAACAAATGAAGACATTCAGGTAACAAATTGAGCGATCAAAATGATTGTTTATAAACAAAATGTTTTAAATATGTATAAAAATGTAACTCTACCCCTACAACTTTAAACACTTTTTTGACCATTTCCCTATGTAAAATGTCTTATACAAAATATCCCTTTAGTTGACCAAAATGAGAGGCAGTTTTCAAAGTTTGCCTAAATTTGCTTAAATGTATATTGGTTTGTCTTGCAAAATATAAAATACTTTAACCGTGTAGTTTTTATTTTATGAAACTTTGAAAATATCTGGTATTAAATTTGGCATTTTTCAGCAAATAAATACCTACAATAATTATATTATTACAATCAAACACTTTTTTTTCTTTCATAAGGGATCTGAGAGATACATTAACATTGTTAAAAAACAAAAGAAAGAAAAAAAGTTGGGGGCTTGAACCCACGCCTCTCAGTTTCAATGCACTTAACAGTGATTCTAGCCTATTTAAATACTCTTTAAAGTGGAGATAATGCATTAGAGGTGCACTACCTTAATCTTATTGTATGAACATTAATTCAGAAAAGAAAAAGGGTTAAATAAATCTGTATTGAATTCAATGGTAATTGCTTAATTTCCGATTAAAATCATAGTTTAATCATAGTACATATTAACTATCGGTTACATTGAAACCCCTAAATTTAAAATTTACTTGTAAATTCATAATTATTTTTAGAAAGGAAATAATGTGTATATATAGTAACGTTTACATCATTTACATTGCACACTTAATTTACGAATTTGAAAATCATATTTTAACAAGGTTAACGAGTCAACGCTTATTTTTAGAATGATTTTGAAATTAGGAAAACCATAAATTTGGACTTCAAAATCATATTCTAATGATAGTAAAATTTACATCGTTGACGTAAATCTTTAAAATTAATGATAATCATAGAAATGTTTTTGGTGCACACGTTTAAATTTATAATTTACATGTCGGGAAATTAGTTTTTATTTAAAATCGACTAAGAATAGTAACGCTAGCAGCGTAGACGCTTAAAAGGACATTATGCTATTTTTTTACGTATCAAGTTGAGTTGGATCAAATATATAGGTCAAAAGATTGACTACTTTAATGGTGACTAATAATTAGAAATGTTTAGGATAAAATATAAAATCTGTCTAGAGCCCAGATCTTTTAACAACTGAGCGTAACTGATACATTTCGAAAACTATTTAGAAATGTAAGTTTCCACGTGGGCTATTCAATATTCACTAAACGTACAATATGGATTTTAAAACAAATATTAGAATATTGTAAACTTACTCTTATTTCTCTAAACAGTAACACTTGAATGGACATAATGTCACTTAAATAATGAAATCAAGATGTCTGTTTGCTACAATATTTTGTTGGTTACAAGATAAAACTAAAAGCAGTCAGACTGTTACGTTTGTAACGGATAATTTAAACTATAGCTATACTAATTGATTAAAGGGACTCCACTGAGGTTTAAAAGCCTAAAAACATAACATTTGAATTTCTTACATAATTGAGCTGGGACACTTTAAACAGAAATATATGCAAAGATAGTTAAGAAATATACTATGAAATAAATTGAAAATCGTATTTCTTTTTTTATCTTTCGTTAGCCCAATTTGAGTGAAAAGCGTTTGAACGCTTTTCATTTTTGGTCATTTTTTACAATTTGAATAATTATTCTGGAAAAAAGAAGTGCGCGAATGATCTGACATTTTGCACAAAGATTTGTGGTCTAAACCCAATCTTGTCAAAAAACCTCAGTGGAGTCCCTTTAAGATCAAGTCTTAATCTGCTTATTTTAAAATAATAAGAAAGCGGTTTTGTGATATTGCGTTTACCATCACCGGTAGGTATGGATAAGCTGATTTAATCCCGTTATTTTTTAAATAGTTTTTATGACAAAGGCTTTTATATTTTCTTTTTAGTCGTTTACTTATAAGACATTTTCCTTTAAATACTTAACGTTTTGAACTAAACCATGTTTTTTGGCGCACGGCATATTCTTGTTTTCATTAAAAGGAATAGGCGTTTCAAGATATTGTTTATCTTTGACTTCCAACTGCTCGATAAATGTTTTTATGTTTTTCAATTTTGATTTCACCTGAACTCCGTTTATGACCTCTGTAATAAAAGTTTTTTGAAATAGACAATTGCGTGGCTTCTCATCATTTAAATTTACTTAAAGTTACATAGAATAATAAGTTCAAATAGGTTTTGTGGTAGTATAAATTCATCGCCTTGCCATGTTGATCTTTGTGTATTAAAGATTATGTATCCAATAAACATGTAATTTGATGGTTCGGCGAGGGTTGAAAGCTAGGTCACATAGTCCAAATATGGAAAACCCTTGTTTACATTCTAAAGGTAAAATTTTCAAACAATAAATCACACATCACAAATATGGGAAAACCTTGTTAATACTATAGATGTGATATTTTTAACCCAAATTTCCTTGAAATCTGGTACAAAGGTTATTTAAATGATGTTAAGATTCAGTTTAAATGGTAAAGAAATCTTAGTAACAGCACATAAAGAAGAATATATGGATAAATTTAATTTCGCACTATTCAAGGTGAAGATATGAACGTTATGATATCAGTTAAAGTTTATGATATTATATCTGATTTTTGCTATAGTTCTTCTTTTGATAAGCACCTCTACATTACGGCACAACGGAATTATGTCGCACTCGGGCTCGTTAAGATTGAGCATAGTAAATGCTTTTTGACGAGTCAGAGAAATTGCTATACATTTGAATGTTGTTTTTTTTGCGACAGCATGCGGTTAAGAATTATTATTTTGCTACCAGTAATACTGTTGTAATATCGATATAAGTAGTTCCAAGTTGTTGCATTTCATGCAAATATTGATCTCAATCGTTCAGCAAAATCTTTAATAATCTTCATTGGTTTTGATTTGTATATGATTACAAAACTGAATTTAACAACAAGAGAAACACATTCTGTTGTGTTATTGACATTACTGGATTGTGTTCGGTTTTGTATAATATATATTAAATCCTAAAGATAACCCTTCAACGGTAATATGTACCAAGGTTCACACCTACGTAAACTTGGTCATGTCTGTATTGGTCATTGTTTTGGATGTTTACATGTTTTGTGATGTCTGTACTGTTGGATTGTCGATGAAGGTAGGTATTTTCTCACCCCCCCCCCCCCTCACCCATTTTTAACCTCCCACCTTTTCACCTTTAATTCCCTTATGGGCCCGTTTAAGTTGATATTATTTTACATTACATGTCTCACTCCTTTCACCCTTATGTCCGCTCCAGGTTTTTTAAGTGTGTCTGGCGCCGCGTCCTGTGAACGTTGCCTTTGCCTTGTTGATCTTTATTCTTGTTTTGTTTTACAGTTTGAACCAATTATGGAGATCTAATAGCTTAATATTATTTCCTGATTATTTTATTCAAGAAAACTGACTACTGATTTAACTATTTTCCCTGTCTTAACTTCTTTTGCAGTAACAACTATTTCTGTCCCTCCAAACGCAAAAGATACTTCAAGTTGATTATTCGTCGCATCATCTGTACCAGATAAGTTTAATGTGACTCTGCCAATAACATGACAGTCTTTGTCTGTAGTATACCTTGGATTTTCAAGTTTTGATGCACATATATCCCATTTTACTGTCCTTTGATCTCGATACTGTGGAACAAACAATTTCGTGCGTTGAGACTCTCCAGTTTTAACTAATTCTCCTCTAGTCACGTGTTTAAAGAAAATATCTTTACAACGCACTCCGTTATCAGTGACGACACGCTTCTCTATTGGATGTGCACCTGGAATGAATTCAGCACTCCCTGAAACACCATATGTATATTTCACAATTCTCTCTGAAATAACAGGCGGATAATATCCATACAAAACTGCACCTTTCAGCACTGCAGTCGAAGCTTCTACTGGTACAACAACAGGAATGTCGGGAAATTCAGTTTTAACAGCTTGTTGCAGAAGGATACATTCAGAGAAGCCACCTACCATTAATATGCAGGAAAGTGTTTCTCCCTGCATTTTCTCAATTATTTTTTTGATTTCATGTATTGCCTTTAATGTTGCCAGTTTGAAAAAATTGCTGAAAAAGTGTGATGTGAAAGTTATCTTGTCCCTTTTCAGAGTGATTTCATTGCCAGTATCTATCTCTCTGAAAGCATCATCTAAACTTTTAGTTTTTATTATTCTTTTCAAAATCGAGCTACGTTTGTTTGATTCATATATCCCTTTAAAACTATGCGGAAATCTCATATTTACATGATCTTGTTCTTTAGGGTTAAACGATTTCTTTTTGGATTCAAATTCACCCATTAAATACAACCAATCATCAGTTTCTATTCGTTTAAACTGCTCATACTTTTCATCAGATAGAGTGGTTCTCAAGAATTTTTCGAACTCCTTATTCACTGCATTTCCGCCGTGTACATTCCCACTTGCGGTCACTATTTGTTTTACAGTTTTCGATGAGGCGACTTCATGTACTGTTAAATCTACTGTTCCGCCTGAAGAGAAATTCTTCTAGTTAAATAAATTTGAGAAACAAAATTATGAGATTTAATTAAAGATACAAATTACAATTTCTTATCAACATTCCAAAACAGAAATTATTGTGTTATCTATAGAAAGGGCAAATATGTGTTTGATTGTGTCTTTATTTAAACATTCAACGGTGCTTATCACTTGGAGAAATTAACACTGAATATTGAAAAACAATTGTGAAGGTAGCAAAAAGTAAACAAAATACTTAACCACTATATTCGTACCAATTGCCAAGCGCAAGACAAATGCAAAAAATCACTCAGCTAAATGGCATATTAGTATTCATTTAGAAACTGTAGCAGGCCACTAAAAGGAGGCATACCCATTAAAAAAAAACAACAATAAATAGTGTGGCTCAGTGGCCCTTTTTAAAGGAAAATAATATTCAAATTTGAATTAACCTTTTTGTAATATATATAACCAAGTGGCATGGCTAAATCATTTTCTTCGTCTCTCGAAATAGATACATGTAGAATGCTAATCCATTTTGTAAATGATTAATACGCTACGCACCCCACTTTTGCTTGAATTAAAAAAAATATAAACTTTTTTTTTATTTACCTCCAGCATCCAGCACGAGGTATTTACTTCCAATCTTCAGGGAAGATAAAGCAACACCCGAGTCTCTATTAATAGCACACACATCAAGTTGCCGACAATAAACTGACGCAGCTTCTGGCTCAAGAGCTATAATTATACTGTCTGGTAATAATCCTGCCTAAAACAAATAAAATCTGAATAAAATAGCGTAGGTTAAAGTAAATCGTGACATTTGACTCGTAAATCTATATACATTGTATAGTTTTAATTTTTTGGTTAAAAATCTTGAAAAGAGGACACCACTTGGGAACAATATAAACAGTTGCATAAAAGTGAAAATTGCATTCTTTGGTTAAGTCTGTTCATGAGAGATAATGAAAAGTGCAATTACTATTTTGAATTATTTATAGTAACTCTCCGTCCATACTTCACCTTTGTGTCTACTCCAGATTTTGTTTGCTGTCCTTGCCGGTGGTCATTTGTTACTGTTTTTTGTTGAGAGATGTTGTCAATGAATGCCAACCTTTTTGGTTGATCTTTGTTTTAATTTTTATTCACATTTTAACCCATGGCCTAAAGTGGCATTATGTCCATCCAAATGTGTGAATGGTGAGTGTAGGAAAATGTCATTCAAGTCATTATTTTGTTACACACAAACTATCAATAAACCGCGTGACCAATGGTAATTTCTCTGTATAAAATTCGTAAGTTATCGGTATCGTTAAATAGAGCTAGGCAGTCTTTTTATGTCTAAAGCAGGTTTAATATTTAATCGTTATTAATCATTGGCTATTCCCCATTATAGCAGTTATTCAGCTAATAATTTAAACGAACAAATGAGCATAGTATAACCTTTATTGGTGTTCGATAATAAATACAAAAATAACTTGAATCAATGATCGACAAGGATTATGCAAATGTTAGGGTAAAATGTTAATCTTCCCATATAGTAAACATTTTTGTTGTGAAAAGAACCTTACTTGTAATGCAGATTCTCTCATCAAATATTTTGCTTGGTCTGTCCAGATGGCAGGAACAGTAATAACCCATCTAATATCTCCGGGTCTTATATCTTGAAATCTTCTTTTTAAATCACTGAACATATCCTCGGCTAAAAACCGAATACTGGCTGAAAATACGTTTATTGCTGGAAGAACTCTTCCCATTTGGTCAACAAGCTTCATCCCAGTGTTCAGCGGCTGAAAAGTGTAAATTTTGACCATGCATAAATCATGATCAGACAAAAGGAACTTTAAGAATGTCTGTGCATACGGCTGCAACTTATGAGAACAGATTGATATGTTTTTCTTATCCGCGAATTTTTCTCTACGAATTCGATGCAGATCAAAGAGTTAACGCAATAGATAGACAGGTAGAATGAACAGTGAACATTTACAACATTGATGAATTTGAAGTATAATACATTAAAATGATATATAATGATTGAAAGGGTAAATTTGTTTTACGTGTAAATGTTGTTTTTTACCCAAGATATATGATAATGATTGACACAACAAAGGTTTGAAATGTGTTTCTTGTTTATTCTTCTCTAGTGGTTTTTTTTTACATTTGTAAGGTTGTAAAAATAAGTTTGTTTTTGTTTCTGATAAGGCCAAACTAAGAACACATTCGGTAAATTGTACGGTATATGTTACATACATCACGATACTACAAAATTGCAAGTAACAAAATATTAATTATACCTGGTAATATTTTCCATAGAGACCAGTTTTGAAGTTTTTGAAGAAGAAATATGCCTGGTGTTGTTTCTTTGTTACTAAGTCATCATATCTGCTCTCTGCCTCATACCCAAATGAGTCCAGAGTTTCACCATCTGGTTTTATCAAAGCACATGTGGATGTTTTTCCTGTTGAATTTGAGGTGTATGTTGAGTACCAAGACTTTACATATATGGTAGAGTTTCTGTCTAGATCTGTCTTGGAAGCAAATGCCCATCCAGAATAGGAAGTTCCTAAATCAATCGCCGCAAAGATAATCTTACTGTCAGCCTGAATATATCGTAATACAACATTATGAACAATTTCCATTTTCTTTTAATTACTTTAAACGTACATTATTCTTTTTTGTTGTGGAGGGGGTGCATATAAATTTTTACTATTCCATAATATTTCCATTTAGAGTATACATTAAGAGAAATCAATATCATGAAAACAGTACTTATTGACTTTGTTCTAGTTTGAAATAAAGTATGTAGATGTTATAATAAACAGCCTTCTTCCACCTTTACGGAGAGAATCTATACCCAAACCATCAAGCATCAATTAGTCCAGTATTCCCTTTTTAAATGCATCTTTGTGAAGCGAAGCTATAATGCATAGTTGATAATTTGTTTAGTTGGGTATTCTAGTTTTCCTGTGTTAGACTGTCCTAAAAGCATCTTCAGAAATAAGCAACAATCTGGTAGAACTATTTTCAATCTAAATGCAATTTGAAAATGCTACTTGTGTTAAAAAGAATTGCTTGTATCCGAAAGTAACTGCTGGATTAAACATTATAGTGTCAGGATGTTACCAAGAGACTTAAAGTACTTTTTATGGCGCCCTGAAAGTCTTATTTGTTGAGTTCTTGCACTTTGTTAATTGTCATACTTTATTTTTGTCCGAGCCATTTCTCATGAACTATAAAAACTATGGACTATAAAACGTAAAAGATCTCACTGAGCAAAAATGCCTTGCACAATAACTGGTACTCTGTACTTCATGATTTTTGAGTTATTACCCTTTGTTAATTTCCATGCTTTATTTTTGTCCGCACCAATTCTCTTACACTTTAAAAGCTATTGGCTTGAAACTTCATAGGATTGTCGATCTTGTTGAGAAGAAGTGCAGTACATAAGAACTTGAACACTGCACTTATAATTTTTTATATTTATTCCATATCAGTCACTTTAATTTACGTTCTTTATCATTTAATATAAATAAGGAATTTTGTCAATAAATACATTCTTTAAAATCAAGTTTAGGGTTAAGGTGAGTTGATATCATTGTTAATTGTTTTTTGTACATACTTGTCGCGCATATAATTAGTTATTTAATGAAAATTACAAAACGTGACAAGATACGACGAGCGTATGTATTTTTTTACCAATGTTATCATCTGATTTGAAGTATCAATTTATCTGAAGTCTTAAAGTGTCAAAAACATTGTAGACATACAATGACAAAACCATGTCTCTTCAAAATAGGAAAAATAAAAAAGCTCCGATAACTTATCAATCGATTCACGCGATAAACCAGGAAGTTAAGAAACGTTAAAAGATTAAGCACATTAATATCAACCGGTTGTTGCACATAGATGGAGTGGGCAAGGTGGTCCACGAAAGTTGTACTTTACTAGAGCATAAAGCTGAGAGAAGAATGGTGTGTAATTAAATACTAGTAGATTGCCTTGAATCATCTGACGGAGAGGTTTTATCTTATAATGAATTTATTTATAGGTTCAATATCCAATAACATTTCTTTTTTTATATATATCGTTTTAGGAATGATTGTTTCAATTGAAAGTTTTTAAAGAAATAAGATATAAGCTCTAATATTGTACTAACAATGGCCGAGAATTTCAACATTACCTCAAAGATATCGTACTAAGTGTAAATTTCGTAAAACCATTTTCATGTACATTGAGTACACAACAAATTCAACCCGGAAGTACTGTTATCAGGGTTATTTCTGTGCTGGATATGTCTACATGTGTCTCTAGTTTTAAAAGAGTAAAATGTATATTTATGGCCACTTTAACATGTAATAAAAGTTTTTTTATACTTTACTTTGATCTAAAACTGTGTTAACTTAATGTAAATAAGCACCTCAGTCATTACTTAATTTTAGATCTAAAGTGTTGCAATTTAAAATGATTTATTTAAAACATTAGTGTATATTAGTGTATATGTCCTTATCTCACAAGTGTATAATATACTGCGGATTACATAATTTTTCTCTATCATTAAAATGACATATTTCAAAGACATATTTTGTCTTAAATGTACAAATGCTGCACTGGCTATATGCATAATTATAGCTTATGACTTATAAATGAAAAAAAAATGAAATTTTTCTTTTTTCACACTTCCTACATGATCAACATGTTTTTCTGACTTACAGTGTACACACAAATTATCATTGACCAAATGATTCAAAATTATATTTTAAAGATTTAACGATTCATGATACTACAATATAACAGCTTATAGTTTTAGCTTTAAAACAAGTATATCGCCGGATACAGCTCACATCTGAAAGATTATGATGTTAAGGATCAAAGTTGCAGGCTTCAACATAAGTATCGTTATGTTTATAATGTTTCAAAACACAATCTGGCTGCTGCTCTGACTTTTATTGTTGCTGATACTTGTAGTTATGTTGCAGTAACAGGAGCAGCTACACTAGTAGCATAGAAGCAATAATATTAGTAGTAGAAGCTATGTTTCAGCCAAGCTGTTACAAACTTGTTATAACTTTTCAACAATTGTTTCGTATAATATCGTCGTAATATAATATCTCTTCTTTTAAGGTTATGTCATAAATATTTTATGATTTAGTGTTTGTTCAAATGTTTGATATTCGTAAAAAAATTATACAGTCATATTTATAAGTCTGGTTCCCCATATCTTCATATTAAGAATGTTAAGTTCCATTTTTAAGAACAGATTAGTAGCGGTCGTGTCAAGGTCACTAACTAGGGAAGGGGATGTTTAAGCGGCCGCATAGCTCAGTCGGTACAGTCGCGGAAAAGTCAAAGGTACGAGTTCCGCTCTAGCTGCACATAACTTCTCATCATCTGACATTTGTAAAACAACAGTTACCGACTTGTAGGAAAACATTACCTTCTATTGTACATTACTATATTTTATGAAATATTTTTATTATCATTAAATAAAATTAATTGGTTGATTCTTGAAAAATAAGTTTTAACATAAAATGTGTTTTTTAACATAATGAACTGAATAAGGCATTTAAAAGAGGGTTTTAACCATTTCGCGATGCGTTAATACATTAACCGTTTGTTTTTTAAAGCAATGTACTACCGTGTTCCTTAAATATTCATCAGCATTTTGGTAGTATAATTTTTCAAAGTCAGAATAATAATTGTTGCAGCTAAAATATATACACTTTAATAAAGAGATAAGAAATATTTTTATATTCATTTATAATACATGTTCCAGTAAAAAGCAGTAAAATGTTGATTATAACTAAATAAGAGAAAACCTGATCTGATGTGATGTCGCACTCTGCTGATGTTGCCATATTAAGAGCACTTAGTTCCATTTTTTTCTCCCAAACAAGGTTTACATAGTTTTATGTGATTTTTGCCCGCCGTATTCTTTTCAATTCAATCTTATAATTTATCTTATCAGTATTCCATTTGATAGCGACTGAGTAAAGCGATCGGTGATATCTACCGTTATTCCTGATTTGTAAACGCTTAAACATAATATTTATATGACACGAAAAGTCACGAAATTACCCGAAATTATTTACGAACTTGTTATCAATCCAATTAGATCCTCTGCCATTGTTTTAATCATCTCATCTCTTCGCTGATTTCACTTTTTCACTAAGAATATATGCATATACTCTAGCTAATAATTGGTTGGGATATCATCATAAAATTATCTAATTTATCTGTTTTATATTTATTATAAATCATTCAGCAGATTAGTTTGTTATTTTAACATTGTAAATATTGTATGTGTATTGGAATAAATTAATTTATATTGCCGCTTGGGGTTCGAGTAAGGTTGCTGATTATATTTCTGTCCTTTTCTTTTGTTTATCTTTTTGTCTTCTCTCTTTTATTTCTTTTAAATTTAAGTTTCCTTTGACATGTAACATGAACACAAAACACGTCAAATATGTCATAGAAGAACGGCAGAATTATTGTAGCAGATGTCACTGCAGTGCATGCATACAATTGCAACCATTGCAAAGTGACGGGCCGGCAGTGTAAATAAAAAAAAGTTGTTTCGGTCCATATATACCTTTCTTCGTATAACGCCGCACTTAACCAAGTGTACAAGTTTATTTATTTAAGCATGGCATATTACATGCATGTGATTAAAATTACAAAGTATATATAAAGTATAAATAAACAAAAACATAGCACAAGTGCATACACACGGGGGAGGAAGTGTTACACGAAGGATGGAGTTCTTATGATAACTTGTTCAGGAGTTCTTGTGATAACTGTCACGGAGTTCGTCGGAAAACATCTGTATATACTACAAAAACACTCGTCAAAAATGGTTATTTTCATCTTTCCAAAATGAGTTTTAGGTGCTAAATTAAACTTTAATGATTAAGCTTGTCTTACATCTTGTATTATGTGTCAAAAACTAATTCACAGACCATTTTTACGTCCTCTTGCTTCAAATCTGGTAGTTTTGAGTAAAATTTCCAAATTATTTGCCAATTCACAAGTATTGACCTGTTTATTTCTGGTCTTCATCCTTGCCATACATAATTACCTAATTATAGGGCAAAATTGCAAACATAAAGCACCGGCTAACAGATTTATACCCGATTTTTCAAATGTCCCGGAGTTCTTGTGATAACTCTGAAGATGTCACAGAGTTCTTATGATAACTTTTGTTATTGGCAGTGTGTTTCTTGCGCTAAATCACGGCACGTTTTAGCGTTTTTTTATTATTCATTGAGATTGTAAATCATTATGAAATGTAGTACGCTCATCCTTTGCGCAAAAAATAGGATATATAATGTTGGTTTTGAGTGAATTTTAGCTCAAGAGATATTATTTTTTATACCCGCGTTTCTTTTTCATAGTATTTTTTTGTTTGACGCAGATTTCGTAGACTGGAAAAAGGATTTATGTACTGGTTTCCTAGCTGTTTCTGGCCCCTAGCAGTTTTCTGGCCTTTATCATTTTCATCCAGGCATACAGTCTTTTTTTTCTCTCAGTTAAGCATCTTTGTTACTGCATCAATCTGAGAAACATTTGTTTTCTATGTAAAACATCAGTTATAATAGTACAGCGATTAATATGTTTCAAAGTTTTGTCTGTTGTTTTAAGTTACATTAGAGAACTTGCGACACTTACAAGCAACACCTGTGGAATTCTAGTTTGAATGCCCGTGCACAATAACTGAAATCCCATTCCAGGTAAATCTGGAACCTGGAGGGACAGTTCAAATTTTTTCGAGAGATCGGTAGTTAGAGCCAACCGCAGTTGAGTTTTTATCATGTATCGTACTTTTTAGGACATAAGTGGAAATCATCCTGGTTATATACTTATTTATTATGGTATAAAATGATACAAATTACTTAGCCCTTAGGTAAGGGAAGCATGCCTATATATTGTCTGCTTAAGAAAGATGGTTGCTTAAACTGAGAACAACGTGTACGTTTTGATACATTTTTGTTTTGTGGTTTAAGCCATTATACTGCTGAGTATCAGTGGCCGCTGGTTCAATGTTACTGTAGATGATAGCCTATGATAGCCTATCACCTATTTATCCTTTGAAGACACTTAAGACCAACGTTTTATCCACATTTTTGTGCAAAGGATGATCGTACTGCATTACATAATGATTTACAATCTTATTGAATGATAATAAACGCCAAAACGTGCCGTGATTTAGCGCAAGAAACACACTGCCAATAACAAAAGTTATCATAAGAACTCTGTGACATTTTCAGAGTTATCACAAGAACTCCGGGACATTTGAAAAATCGGGTATAAATCTGTTAGCCAGTGCTTTATGTTTGCAATTTTGCATTATAATTAGGTAATTATGTATGGCAAGGATGAAGACCAGAAATAAACCGGTCAATACTTGTGAATTGGCAAATGATTTGGAAATTTTACTCAAAACTACCAGATTTGAAGCAGGAGGCGATGAAAAATAGCCTGTGAATTAGTTTTTGACACATAATACAAGATGTAAGACAAGCTTAATCATTAAAGTTTAATTTAGCACCTACACTCATTTTGGAAAGATGAAAATAACCATTTTTGACGAGTGTTTTTGTAGTATATACAGATGTTTTCCGACGAACTCCGTGACAGTTATCACAAGAACTCCTGAACAAGTTATCATAAGAACTCCATCCTTCGTGTAACACTTCCGCCCCCGTGATACATACACTTATCAATAAGGTATTCTGTCGTGTTTTCGGTCTGTGGCAAAACAATGTAGCGAGAAATGAATCTCCGCGAATGTTAATGACTACGAGTATTTTCACGCGTTGAACGGTTGTCTACCCATTTAATTGCACGGTGTGGTAATGATCACTTTCACTTTACAGCTAGCTGTTTTTATGACGGTTAATGTAACGTCATTGTTTAAATTTTTGCACGTGCTCGGCCCCGGTCGACAAACTCATAATCGATCACATGACACTTGATTAAAGCTAAACTAAAACAAACATTAATCCTTATTTCATTAGTGACTGAAATATTGCCAATAGTTTTGGTGGGAAAACGTGAAGTTCATAATTAATATAGCAAGACACCGGTAAATGAAGTTGTTCTCTCATCATTGTCACCAAAGACACCAGAGCCTACATGCAAGGCGATCCAGACTTCGTCTCTTTCATTCAGACGTATAACAATCGTGCTGCTGCCTTGGTTATCATCTCTAGCAAATTGACTTTCAGCTGCCGCGTCAAACTGAAGAAAAAAAAACCATAGAAACATCTCAGTGTTATTAACATAAAACGGAATATATATGCTTGAAATACATCATTTTTCCCAATGTAAATGTACGACATTTTTAATTCAGTGTTATAAAAAATTACGATGTCAATACAATACAATACAATACAATACAATAAATACAATACAATACACAATACAATAGAGTACAATAATATACAATACAACGTTGTTATATACCTTACGGACACCGTTAACCATAAGTTTCACCCAGATTTCGTGGGTTTCCTTTCCAGATAACCTTCTTGCTGTTATAGACCATGACAAGAGGTACACACCGGAAACTGGTACACGAAATATTCCTGAAATACGTAAATAAATCTGAAATTTTCAAAGGATCGTTTGCATGAAGTTTAAAAATGTTATTATTCTTCATTATATAACTGTTAAAATAACGAAATTTAACATTCTGATATTTGCATCCAAACTACAGAAATCTAAATGTGGATTTAAAGGAACGAAGAAAGTCACATCTTAAAACTATCAAATAAAATTCTTGAACATGGTGATACATTGATAACGGACTAACAGTTATTACCCAACATACGTGTAAAATAATCGCGTATTTTAATAATTATATTAATTTACGTCGTTATTCTGAATATACTCGTATTACAGCATATTCAAATTTTGTTCTTATAAGTACAGGATCTATTTTCATTGGGTGGTATGGAAATACATATTACGTGAATGGAGGTTGCCACGGGTGAAATATTATAATTTTCGTACCACAAGATGAAATTTTGTTGTTTATTATAAACATTTTTCTCTTTTATGACATTACAATTTGAAAGACTTTCCCTTACATTTTGTGTATTGGCTGATTTTAGATGAAATAACCCGGAAAATATGTTTCACTGCAATGAAACATGATTTTTCATATTGAAAATACGGGAAATGAAAATACACATTTTATTTCATCAATATAAAATATCAATATTTCATTTATAAGTATATAAGAAATACAGTGTACATAAACTGACAAAAATGCACTACTTGTTAAACGTATGTAAAACACTTGCTTTACATATGGTGAGAAACATATTGTGTACACCGTATATTTAACATGCGGTGTAGACACATGCTTTTCATATTGATATGTACGAATATCATATGTTTTTCTTATAGTTCAAAGTCATTTAATCTGATGGCAAATATTTTTACGTGTATAGCAGAACCTCCTTACAACAATAAAAAAGGTAAGACATTTCAAAGAGCAAAACTTGCAAACAATACATGCATTATCCAGTTAATATATTAAAAAGTACATGAATGGTCACTTATATTTAATTTATAAGAACTTATTCATATTAAAAAACATATCATAATCATAACTTTACGATGCTTTTGTTTAAATACATTTTTCATGTTGTCTTGGTTTAACATGTGTCATTTTACATATGAAATAAGACATGTTCACGTATTCAAACCATACGAAACACATATGATTTACATGTTTTGTGTAATATATATAGATCTAGATATTGTATTCATAATATAATACCATCAAATTCAGCTTTAAAATTTAAAATGTTAAAATGCTATAGAAAGGGCAATCATCGTTATAATAGATTGTTTTAATATTGTTTATTTCAAGATAAATACTATATAGATTATAAAGAGGATATTTGTTTAGTTCAGTGTAAAATCGAAATATAGTGAGCACCAAGAAGTGTACTTCGCGAGTGTTCACGAGATGAAATATATTTCGATCTTGCGCAAAACCTAACAAGTTTTCTTTTTATTTTATGCAAAGAAACGTATAAAAAGTCATATTAAGCTAATACAAAATGACAAGAGCGCCAAATAATGATGCAACGTCATATCATTTACGACGTCACGTCATTTAGTTGGTCCTCAGTACTGTGCACGCTGGTATAACACTGAAACAAAGTAACGAGGCTAAAACTCAAAGCAGTGAAAAATATCAAATTAATATTTTCACTGTTTCAAACAGTGAAACATGAGTTTTAAATTTCACTGATATATTTCTAAAGACCACCGAAAAGCATGTAATAAATTTCAATAATAAAGATTCATTGATATTGCAAGTAGTAAAGCAAATAGATAATAGAACACATACCGGTATTCACACTATATGCGCCAGCCTCGTTCTGAAGAACTTTATTGTAAACAATGGGTTGGTTATATCCTACCTGCTCTTTCACGTGGTCTAAGTACGCGGCAAATGAAACCGATACCGGCTGATGACGCTTTTCTGAAAATACAAATTAAAAACACTTCATGACAATTTAAAATGATGGTATGGCGGATCATATGCTTTAATGCTTTTGTAAAAGATTTTCAATTATTTTACCAGTGATCTTCAGATGGTCTATTGTTATTTTAATTCATTTTGGTTACCTGTTATCCTCTTATATATAACATAAAGAAACATTAAACACTCATTAGGGACTTAACGCACGTGTTTTTGTTGTTGTTTTTGTTGTTTTTTGCATGTCAGACATGAGATTTACTATTTGAAAAATTTCGTTGCCGCCGTTGACAGCAACCCACGAGCTAGATGTTCTGGTCTAAACCGGCGGCCGGTGTAAGGTTCTTATGATAAATATGTAACTAAAGAAATCGCAAGTACACAGCATTTAAAGTAATAGTATTTTCTTAACTAGTTCCCGCATATAAAGCTAAAAATGCCAACTTACTGACCTCTTACTATACTTTTTGAACTGTTTGTCTCACCCTTCTGGTTAACAGTATCGGTACTTATGCGAAGGTGCTGACCATTAGATTCAATCAAAGTTTCCATTGTCTTTTCTAATGCTGCAATGTTCTGTTTGTTTTCTTCATCAGATAGCTTTAACTCTTCAATTTTCTTCATCAGTTCCGCAATCTGTGACTGACATTGTGTTGTATTGCCGATCAGTAAACTCACAGACTGGATTAATTTCCGTTCTGCCACAGTCAGTCCTGATATCATTTGTTGCATTATTTCCATTTTAGAAAGCACTTCTTTTAACGTGACTTCATTCTTGTAATTAATGTCTTCGCTAGTGAACACAGCATTAATGACAAGAATAAGACTTGCGAAGCAAAATGGATAACAAGCCATGCTAGAACAAATTATTTTAATGTTTTAAACAGTAGCAAATATTGTGAACTGCAAAACTGTATTTAAAAGATAAATATGGTCTGATTTGAAAGAGGAAGTACATGTGCACTCAATTATATAGTTATCCTTTTGTTTAACAAAAACTTACAAAGGGCCTGATAAAAATCAACTTCTTTTGAGAGACACTTTGTTAACATTTTAGAGTTGAACAATGTGGCATTGTGCGCTTTATTGTGTGTGATACCGTATTGTAAGATAATACAATAAACACGATATATACATGTATATATCCACTTTTTGTGCACACCAGCTTAATTTTCGTAACTTTAAGAACGCATATACTGAATGCAACGCTTTTAAAACATTTTTGGTTTCATTAGTCCTTCAAAAACCGACGACGATTTTTCAATGCAATGTTGACAAAAAATTTTCGTCAGATGTACAAATTATAATAATCTATTTTACGCAGACTATTGAATTTCTGAGTTCTATCAGTGAGATACATATATATTATGAAAAGTAACTGGATGGGCAGAGAGTGAAATATCTCATATCACCACTGTCAATTGTTCGCTGAGATGAGCAAAAAAGTGATATATTTTCTTAACTGTAAGACAAACCCGGTCACGTTTGTATTCATTTTGGTATTTAACATTAGGACTTAAACATTATATTGTGTACTTTGTCGAAATGGCTAGTGAGCAGCACGCATTCGAAGCAAAGACAACTTCAAATGCCCATGAAATATAGCCCCGTGGGTATTCCCTTTTTAAGAAGGAACGAAATCTTCAATACTGTATTATTTTTTGAAGAACTTGAGTACAAATATCGTTCGTAGCTTTACACAGCTGTTGATGCTGTACATGTTGTTTCTATGACATAAAATAAAATGTGTTCGTTTTACATTTGAATATATCAACTTCAAGTGATATGATTTTCATTTTTCTTTTTTTCATGTTTCTTTTTTTTCTTCTTTTTTTTTTTTGGCTACCCTTCCTCAAAATAATTTGTTTCATACTTTCAAAAGGTGTACAACTATCACTTAAAGTTTACAGATAATACTTTTAATTTGTTCTAGATATATAGTACATGCAGCACCGTCCACCGTGCTCGAATGGTAAAGGGATATTCTTTCAGATCGGCAGATTTAATGTTCGAATCCTATTTGTACCAGCAATGGTGCATTATTTTAAGTATTAAAGATAAAATTGAATAATTAACAGCTGATCTTTTAAGGCGTCACTGTTTGTATTCATGCTAAAAACAAGGTTTGACCAAAATTGACATTACGCCGCCTGCCAATCATTGATAAGCCAATCAGCGATCGTTATGAGTTTCACTGCGAAGTCAACCATTATCTTTAGACTAGCTTCTTGTATAAGACAATGGTGCAGAGGTAATTTAGATTGAAATTATTTAGATTTTCTGTCAATTTAAAGCTATTTAATCGGTATATGTATTAAGCTATCAAATATTCTAACATACTGACAGATAGTTAGTTCATTAAACACAAAGTCAATAAATTTCTATGGTAATTAGTTTTGTAGCAGGTACGAACCATTAAACCTGGCTATAACACAATGCATGGGAAAAAAGGATTAAACAAATTCGCTTTTTACCATTCCATTTTTTCATAATCACATTATATATTATAATGTCCCAGAATATCTAGAAAATATTACTTTTTTCGTTTATAACGCATAACGTCAATAAAAATGCAGCCGAAAAAATGCAGATATAGATTTAATGAGTAAATACAATAAATTTTTTTGGTGAAACAATCGAACCTGAATATTTCTATAAAAGTTCAATATACATATATTAAGATAAAATGCTTAATACGGAACTAATACCAATAACATCATGTCTGGTGTATGTGAAGCTTATTCTAAAGAATATAACGTTGCATTTTATCGTGAATCATATCAAATGTGCAATACATAATTATATATCATACAAAGTGCCGCAAAGGCAGGCAATTTTCACAATCAATTTATTCATGAACAAACTTATGTATAATTTAAACTAAACTGAATTTTGCTAATAAAACTCTAAAAATGATAAAACATTTTATTCTGTCACTAATACAATTTTACTGATTTTGTTTCGCTACTTAAATTTGAAAATTAAACAATCATAACATACTTGTATACTTTTATACATTTAATCTCTCTTTGAATCTGTAAGATATAATGATATTTTGTCTGTTTAAGATTTTTCATTGTAGTCAACATGAAATTACACGATCCTTGCAAAATGTTTCATTCGTCATTAGTTCAAGAATGCAGATATTTTTATACTTTAATGTACATTGAATAATACTATTCAATAAAACCATTAAAAAGTATCAAAATTTTATATATAGAAAAATTATATCAGGTTAGTATAAGTGGCATAACAGTTTTGCCAAGACATTGGTACCGTATTTTGTCTAAGGTTCTGAATGACCGGATCACGTGAATCAGTGGGCGGAGCGATCCCTTCACTGACGTAATGTCAATTACATTTGATTTGTTTACCTGATTATGACCATGTCATCTATAAATTGATGTTTAGTACACATTGCAAGGTAATGTAAAGATGTAAATCTCATGATATACTGCATTTCTCCATGTTGTCAATATATCTTTTCAGTTCCAATAAGTTTGCATAAAAGTCCAAAAGGAAAACAATCTCAGCCAGATTTGTTCTAGTTGCACTTGAAGACAAAAAGTTTGATCAGTTTGTTGACCCTCTTAAGGAGTTTCCTGAAGGTTAGAATAAATAGTTGTTTAGCCATAGTCTCAGAGTAGGCTATTAGGATCAATACATGTCCGTCGTCTATCTGCCGTTGTCACTTAGTTTGTTTACACTTTATTGTCGCATTTTTGTCTTAATAATCACGAAATTTTGTAATGATATTTGCTCCAGTAACTACAGGGACTAGTTTGAACATAGGTTATCTCAGATGGAAAACTAGGTCATATGACCCTAAATTAAGAAACCATTTGTTAACGGTAAATTTGTTAACGGTAAGGCTACTGATGCAGTCCAAATATCCTGGAAATTTGTCATAAAGGTTAACAGATAGATTTCTAGCTAAGGTTCGAATAAAGATCACCTGGGGTGAAAAACTAGATCACAGTGCCTAAATATGGAAAAACCTTGCTAACACTCTAGAGTCTGAAAATAAATCAGGACGTTTGTTTGGGTGATTTCGAACTCAATTCCAAATAGTGGTCATCTGGGATCAAAATCTAGGTCATGCAGCAAAGATATTGAACAATTCTTGTCTACTTTTGTACTATTTCAGAGGCAGGTTTGAACTTGTTGATACCATTTTAAGATTAAGTCATTTTATCTGCTTTTCATGTATAGTAATCATATAACAATAAAGGGGCAACCATGACCTTCTTGCTTATGTCGTAGGGTTCGTCTTTCATGTATAGTTTCATGTAATGACACGGAAACAAATAAAATAATTTTCTAAGGTGGAAAGAAAAGCAACACAGCTACTTCGTGGCGCAAACCAATGGAAGTGTATTCAATGTGTGCATGCGTGCCTTCCAATCCGGGTGAGTAAATGTTAGGTGGCCCGTCCAGAAGAAATTAGTTGTTATGAGTTATATAGAATGACATTAAGTGTTACATATTGCAATGAATGAAAAGAATGAATGAAAATGAGAAAAATATGTGAAAATAAATGGGACAAATATATAGGACATGCACATATATGATATAACAAAATGACAAACATACAGGGGATATATAACGACACAATATATAAGACATACATACAAACAATAAATTATACATGTCGGTATATTACCCTCGTGACACTTATAGCTAGTATTTATTTTCATTTTTTGAGGCCCTTGGCCAACTTATCACTTTTTCCCGTTTACTCACCACAGAACATTGGACGATTTTTCTCACCGAGCATCTGTGTAGCACTTTTGCTAAAGACAAACCTTAAGGTGCAAGGTATTGCACAACACAATTATTACAGATATGTAAAGTTCCACACTTGTAATAAGATCAATGTCCATTAACATAATACATAGTATAGATTTTAACCAGAATTATCATGGCCCTCTGCAAAAAAAAATTGGTAGAAGTTTCATGTGCAACATCAATATTTAAAACTTCTGAAGGTATTTCTTTAAAACCACCTAATACATCTCTACAACTCTGACAATGATATTGGCCGAATTACAGCATTTTGTAATCTATGAAAATTGTTGGTTATAGCCCGTACATGGATTTGCATTTTTTCTCCTATATGGAAACTACGAAACTTTATTGTCACTGACATAAAATGCAAAGTAATTAGTTCTTATAAACACCATGTTAACTCAAAAGCGCCTTTTACTATTTTGGCCTAACCGAGCTTCACATACCTTATCGTGTCCAATAGGAACATATTGGGGCTAAGATTGCGTTTTGGCAGGCCTAAAACCGGTATAAACTCCCAAGTGGTTTCACTTTGTTTCCAGATTTTTTAACTACCACCGACCGTTTTAAGGCGGTATTGTGATGGAAACGTATCTTTTACTCGACTAGATTGACCGCTCCCCCCCCCTATTTGTAAGTTCATCATTTGCCTCAGAAAAAAAATACAATTAACTCGTAAATTTAATTAGATAGAAGAGTAGGCATTTTAGTTGTTTTTATCGTCAAATAGATATCAGTTAGGAGAATCATCAAAGATGTTTACGTTTTGAATTGTTTACTTATTACTCGTAATAGTTTAAAGGCGAAATAGTTTCAAGTAACAGACGCTTACCAGATCAGGTTAAAATCAGCATAAAGGAACGTATTATTTTATTAGCCAATCAATATCATTGTTTTTATTGACTGCGAAGATGGTGCAATCACTAGTATATATAGAGTAAGCGCAGCACAAAAGAGTCAGTTTGGTTTTGTCCGTGAGGCAGATCAGAGCAGTATTATATTTACTGGTACACAGAAGTCTCAGATATATAGTGCTAAAAATATATTGCTGTTTCTGTGAAATCTCATGGACAAACATTTGATTGAAGAAAGTTTTAGAAATGGGTATTCAAGTAAATCTGAATATGTCTGCGTATAGAAGGGAACG